TATAATATATACATATATTATAAATAACCTTTATAGTATAAATATATACCTATTATAATATAATATAATATAAATATAGTGTGTGTATGTGTGTGTGTGTTTAAGGCTGGATACCTAATCTCCAAGCAGACAGTTAAATTTGCCAGGAAGAAACCAAGATATTAAGTGAGAGGGAATGCCTAGGTTTAGGGGATTTCAAGACTCAACAAAGGCCCCAAATTACTGACCAAAAAAGTCCCACAGCTGTTTTGCCAAACTTCACTTGCAAGAGTGTGTTAACACAAACTCATTTCTCAGACAGCACAGACAGAAGTGAGGTTCATTCCTGGGACTTAGTGTGATCTAGATCTCTCCACTATTTCATCCATGGGAGTATAAACAATGGGCTGGTATGGTGCATTTGTTCTTCTGTAATGCCCCAGTTCCAACTCTATGGCTGCATAGTCAGATCCCCTAAATAAACAATCTGCTGTATGTTCAAAGGCAGACCCTATGCCTGGAAGGAAACTTGTCAAAAAAATTTATAAAAGAAAATGAATTGATTCAGTTGAGTTCCAGTCCACACTGAAGTTCAAGGGACAGTTAATTAAGCTTTTAAATTCTCTAACTATTGATTTGTATTATTTTTATATATTGACAGAATTAACATTGTCTTAAAAGTGAAGGAAAGAAAGCCCTTGGAAGGCAAATAATTGAGCTCTGACCTTTAGTTATAACTTAGTTATCTGAAATAATAATATGCTTACAACATCAAAAGCAGTTGGGTGCATAGTGGTGGCCCATGCCTTTGATCCCAGCACCCAGGAGGCAAAGGCAGGCGGATCTCTGTTGAGTTTGAGGACAGCCTAGCATACAGAGTTCCAGGACAGCCAGGGCTACACAGTGATACCCTGTCTTGAAAAAAAAAAAGAGAGAGAGAGATACAAGAGGCAGTTTGGTGAAATTTGCTTACTTAGGGTTCCAATTTACCACATAAAGCATTTTATATCAATTTCTCATTCATCCTTCTTTCTCCCCCTTTTTTACTTTAAATTAGAAACAAGCTTGTTTTACATGTCAATCCCAGTTCCCTCTCCCTCCTCTCCTCCCCTGCCCCCCACTGATCCTTCTATCCCATCCCCTTTCTGCTCCCCAGGGAGGGTGAGGCCTTCCATGGGAGATCTTCAAAGTCTATCATATTATTTAGAGCAAGGCACAGACCCCCTCCCCCATGTGTCCAGACAGAGAGAATATCCCTTTATGTGGAGTGGGCTCTCAAAGTCCATTCATGCACCAGGGACAAATACTGACCCACTACCAGAGGGCCCATAGATTAACTAGGCCTCCAAACTGACATCCACATTCAGAGGGTCTGGAACAGTCCTATGCTGGTTCCCAGCTATCAGTATGGGGTCCATGAACTCCCCCTTGTTCAGGTCAGCTGCCTCCGTGGGTCTCTCCAGCCTGGTCTTGACCCCTTTTCTCATCATTCCTCCCTCTCTGCAACTGGATTCCAGAATTCTATACATGTATTTTTTACAAGTACAAGCCAAATGCAACATGTTCTCTTCCCAAAGTGAAAAATTTGTATTTGATGAACAAACACATAGAGCCCATAACGTAAAAATTAAGAATATAGATTATCCATACTTAGCACCTAGAATGCAAATGAATATTCATAGGAGGCATATTCCATATACAATTAATATAACATCCCAAGTATAGTATAATTTATCCTTTGTTCTATATTTTCCCTAGCAATAGATAGATCTTAGATATTGTTGCCATATCAGCCCCAAAATGATTCCTTATTTGCTTTTGTAGTTGTCTACTAATGTAGTCTGTTGTTGAGATACACCTGCACTTATTCAATCAGTTCCCTGTTAACAGATATTTGGGTTGTTTTAAATGTTTGGTCATTCTGAATGAGGGTACAATGGATAAGCTTATGTATGTGACAGTTTGCACACATGTGAAACTTCAGAAGTGGAAATGCTAGGTCATGTGTAATCTAATAGAAATTGTCAACTTATTTGCCACAGAGGCTGTGCTACTAGACTTCCCCATTGTCTGGTTCATGTAAGGAAGCACAGAGCTTCTTTGTTACATTTATACTGTCTGGAAGAAGTCACTTTCTGTGCCATCAAGGGTGCAGTGTGCAGCGAGCAGTGTGCAGCGAGCAGTGAACGGTGTGCAGTGTGCAGTGAGCATTGTGCAGTTAGCAGTGAGTGTTGCACAGTGAGCGGTGTGCAGTGAACAGCGTGCAGTGAGCAGTGTGCAGTGAGCAGCAAGAGCAAGTAGTGAGCAGTGAGCAATGAGTGGTATGCGGTGAGCAGTGAGCGGTGAGCAGTGAGTAGTGAGCAGTGAGCAGTGAGCGGTGTGCAGTGAGTAGTGAGCAGTGAGCAGTGAGTGGTGTACAGTGAGCAGTGAGTGGTATGCGGTGAGCAGTGAGTGGTGTGCAGTGAGTAGTGTGCAGTGTGCAGTGAGCAGTGTACAGTGAGCAGTGAGTGGTGTGCAGTGAGTGGTGTGCAGTGAGTGGCATGCAGTGAGCAGTGTGCAGTGAGGAGTGTGCAGTGTGCAGTGAGGAGTGTGCAGTGAGCAGTGAGTGGTGTACAGTGAGCAGTGAGTGGTATGCGGTGAGCAGTGAGCGGTGTACAGTGAGTAGTGTGCAGTGTGCAGTGAGTGATGTGCTGTGTGTAGTGTGCAGTGTGTGGTATGCAGTGAGCAGTGTGCAGTGAGGAGTGTGCAGTGAGCAGTGAGTGGTGTACAGTGAGCAGTGAGTGGTATGCGGTGAGCAGTGAGTGGTGTACAGTGAGCAGTGTGCAGTGTGCAGTGGGCAGTGTACAGTGAGCAGTGAGCGGTGTGCAGTGAGTGGTGTGCTGTGTGCAGTGAGTGGTGTACAGTGAGCAGTGAGCAGTGTGCAATGAGCAGTGTGCAGTGAGTGGTGTGCTGTATGTAGTGTGCAGTGTGTGGCATGCAGTGAGCAGTAAGCGGTGTGCAGTGAGTGGTGTGCAGTGAGCAGTGAGCGGTGTGCAGTGGTGGTGCGGTGTAGTGCAGTGTGGCATGCAGTGAGCAGTGTGGTGTACAGTGAGTAGTGTGCAGTGTGCAGTGAGGAGTGAGCGGTATGCAGTGAGCAGTGAGCGGTGTGCAGTGAGTGGTGTGCTGTGTGTAGTGTGCAGTGTGTTGCATGCAGTGAGCAGTGTTCAGTGAGCAGTGTGCGGTGAGAAGTGAGTGGTGTGCAGTGAGTGGTGTGCAGTGAGCAGTGAGCGGTGTGCGATGAGCAGAAGGCATCGCAGGGGAAGAGATGGAAAAAGGGAGCCAGTGAGGGAAATTTAGATCTCATTAGAACAACCACGATATGAATTAATCCCATCCAAACCATCCATGAGAGAGGTTAGTTTCCCACAGTAACCAAATGGCCTGACTCACTTCCCACAGAAAATCATCAATTCCTCTTCAGAACTAGTCATCAGCTCCTAAGGGTTCTATCCCATCCACAGCTTTGGAGACCAAGCTTCCAGTTTATGCCTCTCTGAGGGACAAACCATGTCCAAGTCAAACCTCATCCATTCAGAATTCACCATCTTATCTTCTCAAAGTCCCCAGGCATCATCCTAAACTCTAACATTCTAACAAATGGATTAATGGTCACTAATATTTTAAATGAATATTTACATTGCCTCTTCAGTGAGACTACATGCTCCATGAAGGCACAGAGTATTTCTTTGACTCCTTCACAATCCCCAGTAAAATGTAAAAGTGAGTCACTGAGATGTTTGCATTGGAAGTGAAAGGTTAACTTCTGAGGTTAAATGGCACTTTGCATATCTCAGCTTTGGTGTAGGCTGGGAGAGGAAGATTGACTCTTAAGACATCAAAGACTCTGTGTGTGAGTGTGTGTGTGTGTGTGTGTAGATGGAAGAAACCTTTCAGAGAAATGACATTAATCAACGTGTTGGCACATGATCCAATCCTGCCATGGGGTCTTCTGCTGGTAAGCCCATTGATTGTCCAAGGACTGCTGTAGATAGTGTGTCATTACTATAAAGATACAGATCTTCCTTTAAAAACATCAGGAGTCTGTCATTTGTTATTAGAAACAGCCACCATGCTTTGAGAGTATCTAATGGCAAGAAATTATCCAAAGATCAAAAGTTTCTTCAAGCTTAATTGCTGAGGAAATGATCAAGAGAGACAACACATTCAGAGATCCACTCCATAGTTAACAGTGAGCATGATGAACATTTTTTTTTAACTACAGATTTCCCTGCGGTTCCAGAGAAGTCTTTGGTTCTGAACTTTACTTAGTTCTAGGTTTCTCACTTCCTTTTCAGAGCCTGATGACTGAAGAGCATGCAACTTCACAATGTAATGCTAGCAGACCTGAGTGTGCCCTTGGAGCAGAGCCCTTCAGGTCCCTGTTCTCTTCCCACCCCACCCCCAGATCTCCAATTTGGATGGAAGACTTTTGAATGTTTTCTTCATATTTTCCTAAACCTAAAAAGCAAAAGAGACTGAAAGTGCTTAATAGATTTTACTTTGTTTTGTTTTGGAGACAGGGTTTTTCTGTGTAGCCCTGACTGTCCTCAAACTCACAGAGATCCACCTGACTCTGCCTCTCCAGCTTAATAGAGTTTTAAGATTAATTTTTATTTTGTGGATTTGAACGTTTTGCCTGCATGCATATATATGCACCATGTGCATTCAGTACCTAGGATCCAGGAGACGTCACTGGATTGATTGATTCCCTAGAAGGTGGTTGTGAGTGACCATGTGGTGCTATGAACTGAATCTGTGTCCCCTGCAAGAGCAACAAGTGTTCTTAACCACAGATCTCTCTCCAGTCCCTACTAGATTATTTTTAATGAATCATTTTGATCGTTTTCATCAGTCATACTCAATAACATGCTATGTAAACATAAAAGCTATGTGTGGGGGGTTAGAGAATAAAGACAGGGATGCAGGAATTGTAAGTGACTTTTTCTATTGGAGGTTAAATGAAATGGTTTAAGAAACAAATGTTTAATAAATAAAAATATTTTATTAAATTAATGCAATACAATGACAATTAGATGCAAAATAAAATTTCCAGTTATGGTGATACACAACACAAAAGTATAAAGTGCCTTTACAATACAACACCATGAGATGGTGTTAAGATTTCAAGTAAAGTGAATCAACTGTATTTGTTTTTAAAATTCACACAAACAAGACATTGCCATGAGAATCATCCCGCAAACAAATTTGTGTTAACAGGTAATAGAAGGGTTCCTTTGGGGACCAGGCTGACTTGGAACTCTATGTAGCCTAAGCTGGCCTCAACTCACAGAGATCTGCCTGCCTCTGCCTCCTGAGTGCTGGACTAGAGACTGTTTCTTCACTCTTGACATGTGACAAAACAAAGAAAGCTCTGGGCTCCTAGTCCCTTCCTCCCTCAAGAAGCCCTGATTCTCAAATCTACTGTGCTGATGAGAGCCTTCAAGGGCTCACACAGAGCTAACGGACTTTTCCTGATGCAGGTCAGGACGGCCAGTAACCCAGGAGCAATGCTGGGATTTCCAGGGACAGCCTCTAATAAGCAAATGGAACATCTGTGTTAGAGAAAAGAAGCAGAGGAGAAAGACAGTAACAACACCACTCCAGATCTGCTGCTGTCACCGAGTTTCAAATAAGGCTACCCCTGGTATTGGGTTGACTCTGTAGACCCTGGGGACTCATGGTCTCCCTTTGAACAGACACAAATAAGGAAAAAACAAACTCAGCCAGCGAGTAAGTGTTCTACAAATGGTATTTTACAGGCACAGACAGAGGACACAGTGTCTGGCCTAGACAGCATGAGAGGTACCTGGAGGGATGGGAAGGAAAACCGAGAAACGAGGCAGTACCCTTCTTGGATCTTGAAATAGGTTCTAGCAGCTGCATAAGGATCCATACATTAAATTAAAAGGGCAAAGTATACATCAAGTGCACAGTGAGCTACCATTTAGGAGTTAAAAAATAGTTACTTTAACATATATTTACATATTAACTGTCTTTGAGGAAATATAAGTGCAAAAACCAGTATCAGTTGCTTCTGGGAAGGGAGTAGCAAGGGTACGGTGATGGACTAGAGTTTTGTTTGTCTTCGGGACCATTCTGAGTCAGCTTCCTGTTCACATGTGTTTGGATTGCACGTGTGTTCATGTGCAGGAGGGTCATGTAGGTATGTGAGTGTGTGGTGCACATGTGTGTGGAGGCTTCATTTCTCAGGCACTGTCCACTTCATTTTTTTGAGACAGCAGCTCTCATAGGCCCACGCAGGCTAGGCCAGCTAGCCAACCAGAGCTAGGGATCTGCCTGTCTCTGCCCCGGTGCTGGGATCAAAAGCGTGCAGACATACCCAACTGTTTATTTTAATGTGGGTTCTGGAGGATTTTACAGCTGAGTTATCTCTCCAGTCCTCAATATTATTTGGATAGAAAAATAAAAAAGAACTTTTAAACAATACTAGATATTATGTGGAGGACATGATATTGTATGGCAAAGATAACAAATCAGGGATAAATATAATGCTAGACAAGGAACTCAAGAGTTACTTTCCAGAGTCATTTAAATATATACTCCTTATTGATGAGCATTGCTTTGAGTATTGAACATGCATAAGCATGTCTAACCAGTACTCTGGCTTACATACCTATGCTCAAGGGCCAGCACAGTATTAGAGGCATGGTGTGATATGCAATGCTACTTAATAAGCCATTTTTAAAAATCCACTTCTTAGCTGCAAATTGTATTCTAAAAGGATAGTGGCTGAAAGACAGAGATCTGATAGCTTTTGTCCCATGGGCAAGTTACTTAACTGCTCAGCTTCTTGGGCTATGAAGTGAGTATAATAGAGGTTACCATGAGGGTTGCTATGGAGATGAAATGAGATTGTTAAGTGTAGTATCAGACACTTGTAAAGCTGACACTTAAACGGAACAACTACTACCAAAGAGCCTCGAGGACTGAGAATAAAGATTACTCAAGTCAAGCAGCAAAAGCCCTATCAAACCAATCATGGGTCCTCCATGTGTCCTACTTGTACCAGTAGTTACAGAGGACACCAAGCGCCTCACAGATGCGCATGCTTCTCAGCCTATGGACAAGGTGACAAGCAGCCGTTGAGTTTGGTGACTACATTTTAACATCTATTATGGCTTTAGAATGCATCAATCACAACTACACTCCCACGACAAGCACACACAGGCTCAAAATAAATAGAAAACACTCACACTCCACCACTTGTGACTCTCTCTCTGTCTCTCATCCAGACACTGAGTGGAGGGAAAGGGCACTTCTGCAAGGACCAGATGTTAAGTCGGGGATTCTCAAGCCACTTTTCCAAGATGATTGATGGACAACTTGCTTATCGGTGTCTTCTGAAGAAATGTCCTTTGTGTCAGGCTCCCCTTCCAACACTTTCTTCGTTCTCTTTTCTTCCCAGGTTTCATCTTGAGTCCTTGGCCCTACATCCCAAGGACCTCTTCTTTCACACACCACAGACTGGCAATCCCTCCTTGATGACTGGAGTCCTCAACTCTGTTTACGTCTCCTCGAACTGCGTATCTGGAGAGGGATAATAGTATAGTGATTCCACAGGGGGCAGGGAGTGTGTGTGGGAAATGTAGGAAGATACACAAGAAAAACAAATTGGGTATTTGCTAGATCATCTAATAATGTTGCAATAAGACAGAGACAAATTCTGTGTCGCATGATGAAAAATGACTAACGGTGCTTACTTGTCTGGGGCTGCCCTGGTTTTAAAATGTAAAGTCTGAGCAAGTTAGGCTGGTTCCTCAGGGTGATTTACCAGCATAAATGGCAATGCACTCAGGGGAGTCACCTGGGTCTTCACAAGATCATTAGACCACTTTAATTGCAGTTTTGGGTTCCAACAGCATTAAAGTGAATTAGAAAACTTAATATAACTTATTTAAAATTTAGAGCAGTTGGCTGGGTGAGGGTTTTCTACTATTATAAATATAGACATTGGTAGTGGAATGACTTGAAGCACACAGGATAAGAGCAAAAGTCCATGGTAAAGCTGTGTGTTTTTACCCACGTTATCTTCTCAACTCTACTATAAAATGGAGATGATCCTCATATTTATATGAGTACTTGGGGGCAGGGTAAAGAAACGAAGTACCACATCCCACACATGCAACAGTCAACAGCTAACCACACAGCAGAATCACTTGTATAATTACACAGTCATCTAACTCAGCACTGTCCCTGGCCGCATGGCTACTGCATGTGCAGTAGCTGCAGCAGGAGCAGCAGCAGCCTAGACAGAAGCACCCACCCCTTCTTGATTCTCTTTGCATAAAGCTGCTGGCCAAGGTCCTTATTCTACAGGGCCATCCCAGAATTTCATCAGCTGAGGGAGCTGAGGCTGAGACCAAGGAGCCAGCAGTGCCCACTAACAGCCTCTTTTGGAACGAGAGGAAATCATGGCTAGTAGATTTCTCCTGTTACAATAGACTTTTTTTTTCATGTTTTGGTTTTTGCTATGTGGTTCAGCTGGCTTGCAACTCATCATCCTCCTGCCTCAGCCTCCCGAGCTCTGGAGTTGCAGGGCCATGCTTAGCTGCTTCGTCCCTCACTTGACTTCAGTTTGCCCCTCTCTTCTATTAGCTACACTTACCGTTTTGGTTTTTTGAGTTTGTGTCTTCGATGCCACACTTTTCCACATCTAAAGTTCTCACTGAATGAGAAGAAATTGATCTTTAATTCCATAGAGCACAACACTATGACCCACAGTGACTCAAGTTTCAATTCAAGGTGATTAATCCTTAATCACCAGGCTTTTAGCCCATGAACTTTCTTATTCCAGGTCCCAAACCCCAAACAATTTAGGACACATTCTCTTTCCCTCCCTCCCTCCTCCTCCCTCCCTCTCTTCTTCCCTCCGTGCCTCCTTCTGTCTCTCTGATTGTCTACTTTGTTTTCCATCTTTCCTTCAGAGATGGCCAACATCCTGAGCTACTTTATGCACTACTGAATCTCTGCCATCCACATTCTCAACCAATCCTTCCAGATTCAATTTTGGCAACAACTGCCTCCTTGTGCAAGTACAAGTCTAGTCCTAGTCCGCATGCATCACTGAAACTTAATGTTATGTCCTGGCCACCGCTCAGTTCTGGTCAGAGCCTGTTCTTTGGAAGCAGCTGGTTGTCACTCCCTCAGTTACATCACTTTACATATGCACTTGTTCTCTGAAGGGATGGAGGGGAATTCCTCTCTGAGGACTGGAGTTCCCTTCCATGTTCTACTTCCCTATTTGGCTTCAGACAAGTCCATACATCACTGGCTCTCTTGGTATACGTCTCAAAGCATTGGGGGAAATGTTTATTCTAAGTCATCTTACAACAGGAAGACATTATTTGAATGTACTCATTTTCCTAGATTTTGATCATTCTGATGGGTAAACACTGAAATAAGTATATGAAAATTATTTAAGATAGCATGTCATATTGCCTCCAGAAATCTTGCAAAAAATTCTTTGTGGTAAAGATACCAGTCTTAGAGAGAAACGTTTTCCAACTGAAGGTACCCAGAATCCAGCTCAATAGGATGTTGCATGGAATGCCTTGAATTCAACTGAAACCAAGAGGCACCAAGGGCCTCTTCAAAGTCTGTGGTTATTTGCATATAAAAAGAAACCTTACAGAAGGGTCTCCTTCAGCTTTCACTGCTACCTGCCCTACACCTCACCTATACACTGCACACAGCAGTGCTGCCCAGCCTTACTGTGAACTACTCATACCCCTCCAAAATGCAACATGGTTCAGAGCCACAGGCCCAGGTAGCAGATGCTGCAATATAGCAACATGAGCAGGACTGAAGGAAGACTTAGCTCCCTGGCTCACTGACGTCACAGCTCAAACTTACTTTGTATAACTGAAAGTGAGCCCTGAAAGTGAAATGCAGCACCCTCAAGGTCAAGGATTTTTCCAGTGACACTCTACTAGCCTGTTGGGTTAGGCAACTCCCTGCAATGTGGGGCTGCCCTTATCAAGTCAGAGTGGGCACCATCTTTGACACTGCCTACTCAGTGTCATGGCAAGAAGGCATTCATGTACTTCCCCACAGGCAGCACGGAAACCACTGCCATGAAGGAGATACCTCGTTTTCTTATGCAGAAGAAGACTATGGATGCTACAAGGAGCAACAGGAGCGGTCCCAGAAGTACCCAATGAGTCCTCTTATTTGGGAGAAATTCTGCGAGCGGTTCTGAAAAACAAAATAAAAAGATGCTCACTAAAGATAAAGTTTTGATGGGAAATAGGAGAATGATCATTCTTGAAATCTAGTTTGGCTTTAGGGCAATCTTAATTACTAAAAGTTAATGGCCAGTTAAGATCTAGAAGGACTCTGGGCTTGCACACATGAAAGAGACTGAATTCTGCTGCTGCATATTGGCTTTGAAACCTCCAAAGTCCTTTATCCAGCCTATAAAATGGAAGTGCTAGGAATTTCTTGGGAGGCTGCCTGTGACATGCTTAGCATAGTGCCACAGACAGTGACCGTAATATTAAATGGTGAGCTCAGTGAAGTGAGTTCTTTGTACACTGTTTACTACAGATGCTAACAGCCAACATGGCATGGAAGGCCCACTCTAGAACATGGGGACCACTAGGCACTGCTAAACAGCTTTGGCCTGTGGTCATAATCAGGGACCAATGCTTGTTTCTCTTCTCCCATGTTTGAAACTCTCTGGACATTATAATCATTGGCTTCGCTTGCCAGTTTCTCTGTCTAAAGGCTTGTGAAAGATGGGTCCCATGGCACAAGGATGCTTTGGGATTGCCAACTCCCATCTCTTGTCATATGTCAGTTCCTATTTGGCCCTACTATAAATCAACTGAGACCCACAATACGTAACTACACAGTCTATAAAACCTGTTCACATGTTTTATTTGCATTTCAAAATAACATTATGTTAGACCTATGAAGTATTTCTTAGAAAACAAACACAAGCTACTGACAAGAAGACAGTGTAAGTTACTCTAGGATGCCCCACAAATAAACAGCTTTTTGTCATTTTATTATTATGATGTTTGTTTGTTTTCTTTTTGAGGCAGAGTCTCTTGTAATCCATGCTGGCCTTGAATTTGCCATGCAGCTGAGGATGACCTTGAACTTCTGATTGGATTACAGGTGAGCCCTACCTACATCACCAGGCTTATCTGGTGCTGGGTACCAGCTCTTTGTAGATGGTCGGCAAGTGTTCTCCCACCAGAGCTACATCTCCAGCCTCAAGAAATAGCATTTAATGGTAGGAACCTAGTAGGCAGCTTTTATGAGAGAGTCCAATTCCAGTTAGAATATCTTCCTTGTTTTCTAAACTTGTCTGCTGTCTCTGGATCCAAGCCCACCCTGGGCTGAGTTTTCATATTAGCTGACTTTTCTCTGTAGTTTTATTTGTTTTCTCTAAACTCCTTACAGCACTACTGTTGATGTACATTGGGGGATAGTTGGAAGCAGAAGCAACTCTCCTCAGAACATCTCTGGATTTAAGTCCTCATAACGCTCAGAGCCTGACTGTCCCCACCCATCCCACCTAGTTCTGTAAGCTAACGAGTTTACAAAAAGCTGAACTTATATAGGCAAAGATATCAAACAATTTGCATACACTACAATTCATTTAATCCCTACGGTAGCCTTGCCGGGTGAGTTATAACCCTTGCAAGGAAAGTGAACTACACAGAAATCTAGTAGGTTGCCAAGAGACATGAGCCTCATGTTCTATGCACAAGACAGATTTCCTGGAGTTGAGACATCAGAGAATGCCTGGAATCCCTATACAGGGGGAAAGAATCCTTCATATGGAGAATAAGAGGAAAGGACAAGCATTTGTTCCCTACTGCAGGAACCCTGGAGAGAAAAGGGCAGCTCCCGAGTGATAAGGTTTCAAATCCTGAAGCATAAGCATTTGAATCCTTCTCCATGGTGCCTCAGGTATAAGAGTGTTTCTTACATTGCAACTGTCCCCTGTTCTGCAGGAGCACAGTGACTTTTGTCCTATTCATCTATGAATTCTCAATGCTTAACATACAGTTTGTCATGGTGAATACTCATTAAATACTTGTTGAAGCCGGGTGTTGGTGGCGCACGCCTTTAATCCCAGCACTCGGGAGGCAGAGGCAAGCGGATCTCTGTAAGTTCGAGACCAGCCTGGACTACCAAGGGAGTTCCAGGACAGCCTCCAAAGCCACAGAGAAACCCTGTCTCAAAAAAACAAAAAAACAAACAAACAAACAAAAAAACAAAAAAACTTGTTGAATGTTTATTAAGTAGCATTATGACTTGCATGCAAGAAAATAGCATACATTTAGTAAACATAATTATTGTTTATTCATTCACTCAGCCAGCTGTCACTGAAAGCCTATGATGGACAGCCATCATGCTAGGGGATAAGGGACAGAGTTAGTCAATTTACCTGGGATGATCAACTCAGCTGTGTGGTTTTCCCCTGACTGTAATCTCCAAAAAGTACAGTAGAAAGCATCATTAGCTGTTGCATTGATCCTCAGAGTGCTGGTCACATTGAAAAGCTTCTCCTCTGTCTGGGAAATGGTGACAGTAGTCTTGTCACTCAGGGACTGTTTGTCACTGTTTGTCCAGATGACTTCAGCTTCTGGGTAGCCCTCAGCCTGACATGTTAGTTCATGCTCGGACGTGACTGGATCCATGGAAATTCTGTGGTTGATTTTTCGGTATGGGGCTAGGTCATAAGCAAAAAGAGGTCAGAGCTCTCTCCCATCACAGGTGTTACAAAGAGTATCAACTTGGGCCAGTTCTTCAAGAACTATGTCTCCAGCTCAGCTATTTTGGCAGCAGGGAGTGTGTTAGTCTGACTCAGGTCTTCTGCTCAAATCTAGGCCAAGTTTGGGCTTAAGGAACACTCACATTGCTGTAATAAGCACATCGGTGGGTTTTGTTGGGTTTAGACTAAATATTCAACTAAAAAAGTAAATTATCATCTTGAAACCAAAGGTCTTTCTATTTAAATATGAACTATATCTATTTAGCCAAAGATATAAAAGCTTCATAATATATCTTCACAGAAATTTGACTCAAGGCAATTAGGATAAAACAAAACTGAAATAATGACAGGAAGTTTTGTTGCCCTTGAATCAAGAAAATGACCATGAATAAAATAGGTATAATTATGATTTCAAAACACAAAAGTAAGGGGCTTTTATGAGCACTTGAGCCCTCAGTCTTGTATTCATCATATTGAAGGACAATTAAAAATTAAACCACCAATTATGCCTATTGAATAGACATAATGACTCATGAAATAATGTCACCACAATAGGGTCTATCCCACATTGAACATGACTTAGTTTTTCTGGGAAATTAAAGGTTTAAATTTAAAAATCACTGTCAATGATAAAATGTTGGGAATGAAATATTTGCATTCTATTTTAATTTCTTCTGGGTGTTAATTGAAGGAGAATTTTGCTTCATTTAGAAGACATGGTGAACTAATGAGTGGATCCATCTACAATGGAGTAAAGCTCCACAACTTTCATCTCTGAGATGGGCACATGTGTGAAGATGCCACAAGAAAACATGAGAACTTCTGCTTACATGTTTGCTATAGTACCTGTTAAATTACTTATGTCCCACACATATCTATGGCAGTCACTGTACCTTACTGTCTGCCACAGGAAGGGGGGGTGTTGATTCATATTTACATTACTATGGATTTTTCAAATTCCCCTGTCTAGTTTTTGTTTTTGAGAAAGAGTTTCATGTAGACCAGGCTAGCCTTGAACTTGCTATGTGGTCAAAGATGACCTGTCTCTATCTCCCAAGTACTGGAATCACAGGCAAGTATGTGCCACCACACCTAATTTTAAACCAAAACTTCGTGAGTGGTTCACAAGCACTCTACCAGCTAAGCTACAGACCTTTGTCTACTTTTAATTGAACTAACTGTTATTTAAAAATGAGCTCATTCGAAAGTCTCCTTGCAGAAACGGAGGCTTGAAGATACGGCTAACAATTCAACACAAAGCAAAACAACCACTTTCTGAAGTTAAAAACTAACAGTGAGTTGGATAGGAGAAGGCTAAAATAAGCTTCAAGATTATTGAGACCATCTCATTTGTTAATGCTGAATTTCATCATAACATAACCTGATGAGGTCACAACTGGCAAGACATTACAAATATTCTTTATTCCATTTATTTCTCCTTTTAGATGTCTATTTGTGTCCATTTCAAGAACATTATCATGTATTAGATTGAACCAATTGTATGAAATCAGTGACAGTTTTCTTCTTTTGCTCTTCAAAATGAAAATTTCTTACAATATAAGCCATCAAATTGGCATCAGATTTATTATTTATAATCACATACAAGCTTATAAAGCTTTACAGAAAGGGTAAACAAACAAGTATTGTTTTGTTTGTTTCAAAACCTCTGGTTTAAATCTAGAACACTCTGCTACCTATTTGCTGACCAAAACCAAAAAATTCAAGTTAGTTTTAAGCTGTTCTAAGCTTGATACTTACTCCAGAAATAAAAGACAGACTACAAAGCATAGCAAGGGAATAGATTTTAGAAACAGACTAGTTAGGTTTAGAATCTGGTTTTATAATTTTAGCTGGGTAGAATTTGGGAAAACTTTTAAAAACCTTAAAATGGGAATAATAATGCTACATATCATTGAATCTAAGGTGCCGGCTATTGAAAGACACATTCAGATAGTAAAGAGGAAAAAGCAGCATGGCCATGATCAAGTGCTTCCCCCACAGAGTCATGTTAAAGATTAAGTGAATTCATATAAGCACAGAGTGTAGTGCATGGATTAGGAGTTGCATAAGTGTTAACTATAACAATTCTCCTGCTGTCACGAGTCAGATTGGGAGGACCTGGAGCAGAGCTGTTTCTCCCCTTTCCATCACTGCTTTAGTAGGTCTTAAGAAAGTTCTCATAGCTCATGACAAACAGTGTAGGAAATAAAATTTCCCATATTCAAACCTGTTCATATAGCAAGCATTTCAAGATGATCATTTTTGAAACAACCATTTCTTCCTTTAACAAATGTTTTTTTTTTTCTTTTCTTATTGCACTGGAACATCACTACATGCCAAGGCCTAGGGGTACAACAACGAATAAAACAGACCCAAACCCCTGACCCTGCAGTTTGTGTTCAAGAAGAAGGAACAAGACAATAAACATGATATTCTGAGGCATGTTAGCTAGGGATAGATGACAAAGCCAGAGGATTTGCTGAGCCATGACAATCCTTAATCATTTGATTAAGGTGTTTCCTACAGCTGCTTAATATCATTTAAGGTCCCAGAAATATTAAATGGACATTTCTTTTTTTCTGATATTAAGTTCAGTGACTAAAGCTAAGGATTTCAATTGAAAGCCAGATGTTTGAGGGTCTTCTGTAACCTTTTGAAAGTATAATAGCACCCAAAGAGATAATGATAATTGAGGTAATACAAAACTTCCAGATTTCAGTTTTGAAATGCTTCACCTTTAAAATCCCATGGTGGATTAACTCCCTCCTGGGAAGCTGTATTACCACACACTTACAGAAGGGAAGAGGAGAGGGGCAGCATTACTGTGAAATCATTTGCATAGGAGATGACTCAGGAGTTCTACTTCCTCTGCAAGCAAAGCTCCTATGTGCTAGCCACCAATGTGCTAGGGATTGAACCCAGGGTCCTACACATTCTGGGCAAGTATTCTACCACTGAGCTATGTCCTCAGTCCAGTTCCCATTGTTTGTTTGTTTATTTATTTATTTATTTATTTATTTATTTAATTGAGAAAGGATCCTGCCAAGTTGCCCAGGCTGCTCTTGAACATGATATATATTTATCCCAGACAAGACGCCAAATTTGTAATTATCCTTCCTCAGCCTCCCAAATAGCGGGGATTACAGATTTGAGCCACAACACATGCCAAGGCCAAGGTTCGGATCCTTCATCTAGTTCAGCTGAGCTCTGAAACCACTGATTGCATGCAAATGACAAGATGAATTGGCAGTAGAACGCCAATGTAGTAATGTCTAGAAGAAAACAAGAAGACCTTCAAGTCTGCTTGGCCATCAGCTTTGCCCCATCAGAGATCCCTCCATGGAGAAGCCGGCAGTTCCAGAAGGTTGCCTTTTGCCTCAGAGATATTATTGAGCAGATAATCTAGAATACATTCTTCCTCACCACAAAATCAGCTACTCCCGAGAAGCCATGGGAGACCTCTGGACACAGGCTTAAACTCCATTTCCTTCTTCTCTCCCCTATCCCAGGTTCAGCAACCTTGACTGTTCACAGCCTTTGGGCTTCCTAATTTCCTTAAATGCCTTGAAACAAAATAGATACCTCATATTTGCTGATGTACTAACACATGAACAATCACATCCCTTCTTTCATGAAGGTCACAAATGAAAAATCATAAGTAAAAGACAATGGATATAAAGCTTAAAAGACAAGTGATATTTTCACAACAATGGTAGCATCAGAGACCCTGGAATGTACCATCAAATGGGCATAGTTTTCCTATCTCTACATAGTTTTCTAGGTAATAGTTATCTTGATCCCTTATGAGAAATGTGAACTTTTCCTATTTATAATATACTGACCTTCACACTAGTTTAGGAATAAAAAGATCAAAGGAGATTATCTAATTATAGCTGAATATTTAGAAACTTATTATGAAAACAAAAAGAAGCAGACGGATCATCTAAGCCTGGAGAAAACAGAAGTCAGCTCACTATCAATCAGGGAGAAGTTTCAGCGGACCATGGAAGGGGGTTCCAAATTAGAGGGACACCACTTTGGGAAGTATATGAAGCAAGGAGCCTTGGGGGATTTCTGGTTCTGGCAGGCATTTGGATCATCTGTGTGCATGCCTGGGATGGGTGCAGCTCTCAGGTCTATGAAAGCCAACAGTGAAAGCAGGGGTGGTTAGTAAGGTATTTCCCTTCCCTCTGCTAGTTCTGGTCCCAAACCTTGAACTCAAGTGACCTGATGACATTTTTTTGTGGGTCCTTATCCAGGAACTTACACTAGTAGTTCCTCCTCAACACTCCCAAGTAACACTAATACAAGCCCAGAGCAAATGTGTAGCATTTGTGAAACGATGGCATCTTCTATACTTAACATCATTTTGCATCCTTTGTAGATTGACCTTGTCTTTTTGAATGTGAACCTTACAGTAGGTTATATGTATGTATGTATATACATATGTATTGGGTTTTGTATGGAGATACTCAAAGAAAGAAAAATGTGCTAACACCGATAGAATTTTTAAAAATCCAATAAAAAGGCTCTGGAGGGATATACAAATAGTATATGCATGCCATGGATGATGGTGCTGAAGGGAGTGGGCATTTTTATGATTCCTTTCAATGATATCGGAATTAGATATGTATATATATATATATATATATATATATATTGTGATAATAAGAAGCAAACGCCTGGCATTTAATCTTTGATATCTTACAGAACTGCAGAGCACAGCTGTGTATTATCTGGTACTGGATCTCAAGTTACTGTCAAACACAGGCGCTGAGAGTATTCATTGGTGGAGTGTCTGAATGAATGAATGAAGGAACGAACGAACAGGCTGTTATTTTTCTGTGAAAGGTAGGTGAGGACTTCCAACAATGAAAAGCTCTCAACATTACAGAGGTGTCTTAAATACAGGTCAAGGCTTCCTATCGGGAGGAATTCTCACCATTGACTTGCAGTGTAATCCGCTTGTAGTCTGCTCCGCCATAGCTGATCATACAACCGTAAACACCCGCATCCTGCAGTTTCACGTTTGTGATCTGGAGCCCAGCATTTCCCTTTAAAATCTGTTCCTTTGGCAACCAGGCTCTCCCCCTGAAGCTGCTGTGTTGATGCTTCAGGTCTACCTTTCCATCTACAAATTGAATAACTGGATTGTCGTTCTTTTCCCAGTAGACAACTAATGAAAGCAGGTCCAGCTGGTGTTTTACTGGGAATCTGCATTCAATTGTGACGTTGCTGCCATACTCTACCTCATACAGTTCCTTGGGAGCCGTGATGGTAAATGCTGAAAAGAAAGACCAGCCTTCAGAAGACAGAAAAGTCCTCCAAGCACACTTGAAAAATGGGTAAAAGGTTACAATCACTTTATGGTTACAATGACTTTATCTGGTGAATCATATGAATACTAAAATTCTTCTTGAAAATATCTTCATTGGGAAGAACACAAGCAAATGAGTATATTCCCAGTCTTGTTTAAAAGAAACCAATAAATAAAAGTGTACTACCAGTGGGCCATTTTCCCAGGAATTTTCAGTAGTTTTTAATGGGAAATGGATAATGTTTTTGTTTTGTATTACTTGTATTTTCAGGTTCATTCCTCCCTGTTTTTGCTTGCTTGCTTTTGTTTGTTTCTAGTGCTGGGATATTGAATCCAGAACTTTGCTCATGCCAGGCAAGCGTCCCACTACTAAATTATACCTATAGCTCCTGTATTTCCCTTCATCTTTACAATGACACAAGTAACTTGTTTATGAAGAAGGAAAACTGTCATGTGCTTTTAATGAACAAAGTACACTCTTTTAAATTATTGTAGGGGCTTGGGTGATCACCCAGTAAGTAAACTACTTGCTGTGCAACATGAGAACCTAAGTTCAAATCCCGGAACCTATGTAAAAACCAGCTACAGCAGCATGTGCCTGTGATTTCAACCTCAGTTCTCCCACAGTGGGATGGGAGGAAGGGACAGGAGAATCCCCAGAGGGTTTGGGGCCAGCTGCCTGCAGCACTCAGCAATGAACAACAAATAAGAGGACTTGTCTCAAACGAGCTAGAAGTGAGCATCAACATTCAAGGTTGTCCTTTGACCTCCATATGTGTGCCTGACAAATGCATGTGTGCATGCCCATGTGCGCAAATGCACACATACATACACACACAAACACACACACACACTTCATATGGACACACACAAATTATTTCAACTTTTAACTCAGGGTTAGAATATTGAAAATACAGAACCCACTGAAAAGATTTGGTGGCTTACCATTTAGCAAGTGACAGCAGACTGTAAAGATGGTAACAATGACAAATATAGTCATGTTTCTTGACTTATCTAGTAATGGGAAACACAGAAAGAGTATTGCTTAATTCAAATAGCCGAACAATGAGGCACCAGTAGAAGATTTGTCCTTCTCATACGTAAATAACTGCTAAGAGCCAGTATGGAAAGCACAGACAGGCCAGCTGTAACTGAAGCAGTTTTGATTTCTAAGTGTGGAAACACAGCTGCAAAGTTGAAAGGTCAATACTTTCCATTTTGTAACTCAAGGTTATACAGAACCAGGTGAAAAGAAATTAGTATGATGAGATGAGCATCTTTATAATGAGCTGTAACTCCTTCCCCAGTTGATAATGTACATTCAGAATAAGCCAAGGGAAAAGTACCTTCCCAACTCCTCCAGCTGCACCACTCGCTATTCAACATCTGTAAAACCTGCCTTAGGCAAAGCTTCACAGCAAAGAAAATCTGATTCTCACTTTCACTTTTCAGTATTTCCTCCCCCTTAAAATCTCCCCTCTGCTTCTCACCTACTCCAGATTATAATCCTTTTCCCCAGTAAAGGGAGTAAGTATACCAATAACAGGAGTGGGAAGAGAGGAGAATTAGATTTGGCCCATTTACTAAGGTCTGTGTGCCTCAGGACCACTCTCTGAGATGTAGCTGTCTAGACCCTAGTTTCCATTCTGCTGACATTTTCCTAATTCACCCAGTAAACACTGAATATCTCTTCTTGATTCTGGCACTGTTTGGGGCATTGGTGGGGCAGTGAGAGGAAACTGAAGCCGTCCTGCCTTGGAACTGTTGTCCGAAGAGGGTGGTCAAAGAAAGTTAGTACTACACCCCAGCCAGTCTGTTCATCAACATTTCCTCTCCTGTGTCACTCACATTTAAACATTCACAGCAAAGTCAGTTTCCCTGCCAGCATCTCCCTGACCTCTGTGTCTATACACAATCCATTTGACAAGCGTATACAGCAGAAGACTAGGGCCGCTGGCATTCACTCTCTAAAACTTAGTAAGGAAACTATATGTGGGTCAAGAGGAAAACGAACGAGAGCCCCACAGAGTTCAAAGAACAATAAATACAAACATAGGAAAGGATGCTCTTTCTAAGAATGTATACTCAAGATTTATGATAACATTTCTGACCTTTTGCTCTACCAAAATTATAGCTTCCTCAAAGTTAGTGAAATACAGGCAGACAGTATTTCTTGACTTTCATTGGTAAGGGTATGAAATTGTATAGCTTTTTAAAGATCAGCTTGGCAATCTCTGTTAAAACTTTAACTGTGTATACCATGTGGCCTCTTTATTCCCAACTTAGAAATACTCCATAGGGGGAAAAATAAACACAAATATAACAGAGGTGACATGGCTAACAATAGACCCAGATTTGAAAACCCCATGTGGTCTGACAAAATAAAACTGTATATACTCAAAATACCATGAGGGACAGAATTTAGTACTTACATAGGGAATGAGTTTACGAAGATGTAGGAAGGAACTTGGAGGGTAGTGTATAAAGTAAAACTATACTTGTGGTTTATAACAACCCTGACCATGATGGTCTGTAGTGAGATGTGACTTTTGCAGGAAGCACAGGTAAGTTCTCACCCATTTATACTTTGTTAAAGAAAGATAGAAAAAGAGAGATGGAATTATGAATGGTTTCTTCCTTTTTTATGTGTGTGTCCGATTTTCAAATGAGTAAATAAACAAAGTTTTGCTTTTATTACTAAAGAAAAACTTAATGCTTTTTCACCTTCTGAGTATTTGACAGACAAAGTGACTCCATGGGAAGGCCCCTAGAAATGGAGTCTAGAAATCTTCACTGAGGTAGAGTGATCACGTGAATTTATTTTTATGTTTTGTTGCCACTGTTATAAAAAGAAACAATGTAAGTGCACAACACACTGTTATAAAAAGAAACAATGTAAGTGCACAACACACACTCTCCTTCAGGGAGCATTTGGTAATATTGGAACATACTTGGTTGCCAAAGTTTGCTTGGGAAGGAGAGTCACTACTGATTCGATAAAATAGAGGCTTGTATGCTGCCAAGACCTCTCCCAAGGCATAGGATAGCACCTGATGGCAGAGACAGAGATGCCCACAGTGCCACGCATGTCAAGATGGAGAAACGATGGCCGCTGAACAAGTCTGTAAATAGTTAGCCTTTTTCCTCTGAAGAGATAGTTTCCCTCTGCATGTTTAGGGTTTATTTATTTCTCATGGTATGAGTGTTTTACCTGCTTGTATGTATGTGTACCTGGTGGCAGCAGAGACCAAAAGAGTTCAGCAGATTCTCTGAAGTGGCAGTTACAGATAACCGTGGGTCCCCCGGCTAGCGCAGAAAGTGCTTTAAACCTTTGAACCATTTCTCTAGCCCAAGTTCTTCAATACATTTAATATCCACCTTTTAAAGTTTAAGATTGGGACATAAGTCTTGTATTTAATGGGCCATTAATATTTTACTCCTTTATTGAGGGGTGTTGGGTTTATTTTGCCCTTTTTTCAAAATCATAAGTATTTGTGTATTTAGCCAGTGTTTGGTGAGTACATATTGTGTGCCAGGTTCAAAGTTAGGCCTGGAAGGTAGAGTTCCCTAAAGAGAATTTGCTGACCAACGGAGAAAAAGTACTTTCCCAATTCATGACACATTGTGAAAATTGGTACCATTGCATTTTTACCCAGTGCTGACATTTTAAAACTTTTTTCTAATTCAATTTTTGAAAAATGCAACTTGAATTTTTTTAAATAAACATTTAGTCCTTGATAATTATCTGATTAGATTATTTTGTCTGTTAAGGTCATTGGCTTCTTATTGGCTATTATGAACCCTTGATATTAGAAAAGGGCAGAGGCAGCAGCGTCTGAGAGACTGAGGCAGGAGGATCTTGAGTTTGAGGTCAGCCTGGGTTACATAGTGAAATTCTGTCTTTAAAAAAGGGGGGGCATTTGTCAAAAGAGCAAAGTAAAGTAGCTCATTATCCTCTTGCTAATATTAGACACATATTTAAAATCTTTCTCTCCAGTCATCTGCCCAAGGAGATAAGATGTGATGACACAGGAGTTATGGCAATGAGACTATAGGAAAAATGTCCAAACCAAGTATTGGAGAGTCATCTGATATCTGTTGAAGGACTACAGGACTATGCCTGATTTTGTCAATATTGACGGTAGACTCTGTTGGAACACTTATCCATTAATTATGAGTCTGCTTTAAGAGCTTAGTGTGGTAAAGGTTTACTGAACGGCTATGGATTAGGTCCGACATTCACCTTATTCAGTATCATACCCTCTCCTCCCTGGCTCTCAGAGTGCAGCCCTGGGGAGTGTGAGAGAAAAAGAGGAAGTCCAGGGACCACGTCTGTGACCTCTGCACCTGCTCTGCTTAGTGGGTCTAAGAGCACAGGATCATCTTCCTGAGGCAAGAACTGTGACTTTTCATGAATTCCCAGCCGAGAGCAGAGACAGAGCAATGAAGTACAGGCTGGGGAAGTAGAGATGGCTCCTTCAAGATGGGGAAATAGGTTTGTCCCCGGGGAAGTCCAGAACAACACATGGACACCACTCTTCCCACGAGGGCAGGAGGGGAGCAGATACAAGCTTCCTTTCTCAAAAGTAAGAGTGAGGGCTTACCAAATTTTCAAATTCTATTAAATGGTCCTAAAACCTGTGTCCAAACTCCTCCCCACTCGGTCCCACCGCAAAGTGGTAACTATCTATGCTGTTCTGATGGAAAAGGCTAATATTTTCAGAGTAGAAAGTTCTCCCTAAGTACTGACAGTCATTGTCATTGTCAGCCGCATGCACTTTCTGGGATGGAGCTTCGGCTTTATTTTTTTATTCCATACAAAGGTCTTTCAGATACCCAGACATAACTAGGTAGCTATAAGAGTTTATCTGAATAAAATGCCCAGCCGTGTTCCAGGCAGTTGCACATGGTATATGATCAGTGAACAACTGGGCTAGTAACCTGTTAAAATTAATCTGTGCACCCATCAATGAGAGAGCGATGTCCTTTAGTTATCCAGCACAATGGGATACAAAAAAGCAAAAACTCCAAACTGGCTATTTAATTCATAGGAAAACATAGCAATCATTTATTCAGATTAAAAATAAAAAAGATAGAACACTGTACTTTTACTTCTTATGACAACCCCAAGCTAAACTTTGACAGAGCCAAAGTCAATGTGCCTAAGAAACGTCTTGGCAGTTTTATGTTGAGTTCTTCTGCTCAGCTTCCAGGACTCCTTTAGGGGACCTCAGGAGATGGTTCAAGTGGGACAACTTACTTACCCAGTCATCGCTAGTTAGCAAAGTCGCGCTAGGACCCATCCTTCTCACCCAGCTGCCTACCCCAAGACCACTACCACACTGCCAGTGGCACACAAACCTGGCTTTAACGCTAACAGTGCCTTATCACCAGACAAGTTGCCGATTCTGAGGTCTAACTGTGCCCGGCAACCGGTTCTGCTGTTAACCCATCTTATTTCCTTGTTGCCTTTTTCTCTCTCCATCCTTACAGGCTCTAGGACTCTGGCTCTAATTTGCCCTGCAAGCTGCCGGTCCCGGAACTCCGCGAGAAGACGCTCCCTACCTGTAGGCAGGAGACTGGCGGCGACACGAAGGTGCAGCCTGGCTTGTGGCAGGAAGCCAGCGAGTCCCCAGCTTTATAGCCGAGGCCCGCCCTCTTGTGTGGAAACCCTGCCCACGTCCGCTCTGAAACCGAATCGCCTGTCTCACTGGATTTTGTGCTCAATTTAGGATAAAATACTGAGTTTATAGGGAAACAAAGCTAGGATCTGGCGTGGTGACTCACGCCTTTAATCCCAGTACTCCGGAGACAGAGGCAGGTGGATATCTACGAATTGGAGGTCAGCCCGAGCTATGTAGTGAGCTCCAGGACAACCAGGGCTACAAGAGACCCTGACGTGAAAAAGAAAAGCAAACAAAACGAAACTAAAAGTGAAAGTGAAACTTTAGTTAGCTTTCTTGTAAAACAGGTTTCTTAAAAGAACCAGTTCTGAGTAAACACAGAGGTGTTCTTTGGGTGGGGGGTAGGGGGTAGGGGTGGGGGGAAGGGTGCCTGTGAAGGCCAGAGGTCCACATCTGTTGCCTTCCTCTATAGCTCCTCACCTTCTTTTTTGAAAGAGGGTCTCTGACCCAACTTCGAGTTTGCAGCTGGCTAGACCGACCCTCCAGTGTGCTCCAGGGATTCCCCCCCCCCGCCCCCGGGGCCCTCCCCTGGGTGCTGGGGACCCAAATTTAAATCTTCCATGCCTGAGCAGTAAGTGCTTTAAAAAACAAAACATCTCAAGTCATAAGATCTCAGACTTCAATTTTCTCTTCAGAATCCAGACACCTTAATAAATTACTGTCCGAGCCCTCACCTCTTTCAAGCCCTTTCTGGATATGCGATCGTCTTGATGTAACTTTACATATAGAGCTATGCAACATAAAGAGTTCACAGACAAACGACTTGGGCTTTAATTCTAGAAAGGAGGTGTGTCTATGTAATAGGAAACATATTTTTAAATCGTGGATTTGGTCACTTCCTCAAAGTTCCTCGACATAATGAAACTTGAGTCGCCTTGCCATTCAAGAACTTCCCATCTCAAACCGTGCCCTTTCTGAATGCTGTGGATCTACTATACTGTACTGTCACTCTCAGGATCCAGGTGGGGGAAGTCTATTCTAGATGAACTTGAGAAAGCCCTTCTGGGAACTGCAAGTGTGGGCTTTTTCCAAGGAGAAGCCTTGGGAACTCCACAGCGTGTTGTGATATCATTTAAGCATCTCACCGTTAGACCTCAAGAACCTTCTTCATTCTTCGCTTTTCCGGCTTATTAACTACACTGCAATTCTCAAGTAGTGCGCTGAGTGAATGCGGGGTGACTTGGGCACAATGGAATTTTCACCTTCTCAGAGCATCTCTGTTCTTTGAAGACGATGGAGATGATACTGCATTAAGGATCTATAGAGAATGTGGGATTCTCAATATCATTCAAAAATTGGAATAGACTTGGAAGCCTCAGCTGAGCTATCCCCTCTTCCAAATGCCTTTTGAACCTCATTAGTGGAATAAAGTAGTTTTCCCAACTTCAGTGACTGGCTGAAAATAAAATATAGACTTTATATGTAGAAGTCTAATTTAAACACGTATGTGTGTATGTACACATGCACAGACAAACACATTTCTAGTTAATATTTCTTTTCTCTAAAAAATGATAGCCAAGTCCCAGGAAATATTTATGATATGTTAGTGTGGTCATATAAAAATTCAGATCTATAAAAATTCACTTGAGAGACTCACTGTGTAGCTGGGTTCTCTTGGTTAATAAATTATTTGAACAGTGAGGATTAAGTCGTAGTCCCTTAGTAATTCCTATGATGTAAATTATTTTTAAAACTGAAGGGGCAGGTGTTTTGTTTTACAAGTTTTGCTTAAGGTCTATATGAATAGTCAGCAGCAAAGGTAACTGAAACTGTCCCAACTGTCCTTGGGGATTGAAGGCCTGCTCTTACCGATTTGCATATGAGTAATCTGAAGATTACCCTCATCTCTCCACCTGTTCCTACATCTTAGACTTCTATTTTCCCACGAAGTTGATCAGGCTCCTTAATGAATTTGGTGCCCTCCAGAAGTAGAAAGGCAGGATGTGACTTTAATTAAAAAAATGTTCTATCAACACAGAATATACCATGTAAACCAAATAGCCTAAGTAAGGGAAAAGGAGCCCTGAAAATGGTTTGAGTTTTGTGATTTGGACAAGATGAATAGAGAAACATTCAGACAAGAGAAAAACAGTGCTAGCCAAAGCTGAACAATGGAACACGTTGGTCATCTCTAACGTTGTATCCTATTTATTCGGGGGAGATTAGTTGATGATGAAGACTAGACATCTCTGTGGTAAGGAAATGCACAAAGTGAATTCTGGTGAGAGCCGTGAACAATCTGCCACAGGGTCCTCCTCAAGAGAGAGCAGAACCCCTGTGAACTGTGAAGGTGTCTCTCAGAGAACACCATTGCAGCTGAGGTCTAAACTGAAAGGTTGGTTCAAGCAGAGGCGTCTGATAGCATTCTACAGATGACACTCTAGCCAGCTGCAGAAGGCAGGCTGAGGGTGTGTTCATGGAAGCCCAGAGCTCTGGTGAGAAGCTGCTCTGGGTCAGTTCAATTCCAGCACTGCCTGTGGAGAAGTAAAGTCACATCCCACAAGTTAAGGGTGAAGCCCCACAGGATGGACCCCATGGCAGAGGCCAATCTTAAAACTAGGTCTCTAGAACTTCTGAGGGACTAACAACAAATTAGGATTCCCATGGCTGTCTCTGGTTTGTTAGAGTAGCTCACAAACTATGAGAAACAATTTACCTGTGTGAACCAGTTCATTGAAAGGACATCACCACTGATACAGATAAAAGTATATACAGGGTAAGGTATGGTCAGGTGGGGAAGGGGGAGCTTTTGCACTTCCCTTTGAGTTCACTACCCAACAGGACCCTCCAGATGTTCTGCTTGAACCTCTGGCTCAGGAATTTTCATAGAGACTGCATCAATGATCAGTTCAGTGTAGCACAAATTCTCTTTGGTCTTGATAATAAAACTTCAGAGTCAGCTATCAGGGGGTGAAAGCCAAAGGATCAGAGAAGCAGAGCAGCCAGCAACTAGAGTTCTTACCTCTACCAATGCTCAGACCAAAGGGGAGATCCTGTTTGTACAAATCCTCAGACTGACCTCTCAGACTGAATCCTCAGACTGCCCTGAGCTCCTGTCTCTTCCTGCCTTATATTCCTCTCTTCGCCCAGACATATCATTCCTGTCTCCACCTCCTTAGTGCTGGGATCACATTTGTGTGTGAGCTCTGTTTCTCCTTTAGACGGGATCAATCTCATGTAGCCCAGGGTGGCCTTGAACTCACAGAGATCTGTCTGCTTCTGTCTCCCAAGTACTGGGATTAAAGGTGTATACCACCACTGCCTGGTCTCTAGAGCTAACTAGTGGCTTAGCTCTGCACTCTGATCTCCTGGCAAGCTTTGTTAGATCATAAGCAAAATATCACCACAGTTAGCTTTCAGCCCTTCTCTCCTTTATGGAGGACAGGAGTTGTGGGTGAAAGTGCCATGCTCTGACCGTAGTTTGGCCATTCTGATGACAAGATCAAATCCAGGAACTCACCAGAGTCACTTCACTAGAACAGAGGATACTTCCATCTCTCAGGAAATTCCAAAGAATTAGTAGCTATGTGGGTCATATCCCAGAACAAAAGATTACCAAGCAATCTTATTAATCATACAATTACAACAGGTTTCTAGGAATTTTATGTCAGAAAATGGAATGGAAACCAAAAGTGTATGTGTGTGTGTGTATGTGTGTGTGTGAGGGGGGGGACAGAAAGAAAAAGAGAGAGAGAGAGAGAGAGAGAGAGAGAGAGAGAGAGAGAGAGAGAGAGAGGTCTCGGGGTACCACATATAATAAGGCAGACCATTTTATTTTATTTTTTAAATTTATTTATTCCATATGCATGGGTGTTTTATCTGCATGGATGTCTGTGCTATAAAAGAATGTCAGGCCTTCTGGAACTGGAGTTACAGATAGTTGTAAGCTGGGATTACTGATACCATATGGAAGATAAAAATCAGACCCTGGTCCTTTGGAAGAGCAACCAGTGTCCTTAACTGGATGAGCTATCTCTTCAGCACTATTTTTAGAGTTCAGGGACTATTTTCTAGGGGAGGAGGAGGAGAAGACAAGGCTGCAGTTCTGGGGACACGAGGTTGAGATTCACAGGTTGAGAACAAGGTCATGTGAATTGCACGGGTTCCAGGAGAAGGAAGTTAGCAGGGGTTCAGTCAAGTGGTGACATCACAGCTGAAGAGCAACCCACAGAGAATCACCTATGAGCTTCCTGCCTGATGGCTGTGTAGAGCATTTGCATACAGCTGAAGCAGACTAGAGTCCACACCCTTATCGTTCTTCCCCTGTCAGGGTTATGATTCTTGGGCTGCTATGAAATGCTTCAACTGGGCCACACGAAGCCTCATCTGACTCAGATTACACTCTGAAGTATAACTGCCCCTGCTCACAACAGCTTTCCTTGACTCTCTGTCATCTCCAGTTACAGCATTTCAGTGACAAACCTTGACAAGCTGTAGCATCATTTAAAAAAAAACTATCCAATTAATAAGATAAAATGTAACAATCACAATGATTAAAAAGTATCAGTTATGGCAAAACATGTGGTATTTAAAAATGTCAGGCTTTGTCATCTATACGCTAGACTGACTACCCAACTTGTAGAACAGTCTTATGAATTTTATTTCCTGGAGTTGGTTCTACTTTAGAGATGTTGAAGTTGAGGCATACACCACATGTACCTTGTCAAAGCTTACATGATAGGAAACGCTACAAGTGGGATTCAAACCCAGAACTCTGGCTCCAGTGTCTAAGACACAGATGTACAGTGAAATGAGAATCCTAATTTATTGCCATCACATTGCATGTTTCTTCAGCTTACTCAGTTAAACTCTAACTTACTGTATGGCCCAGCAATTCTACCCCTACAGATACACCCAAGATAACTGCAAATATGCTCACAAAACTACCAATGTTAATTATAACAGGCCAAATAGAACCATCCAAACGTCCATCAATTCTGAATGAACACACAAAATGTGCTATGTCCATATATAAGGCTTTTATTTAGCCCCAACAAGAAATGGAGCAATGTTCCATGATACAATTTATTTTGTTTGCTTTTTATCTCAAATGTATTGATTGTGTGTGTGTGTGTGTGTGTGTGTGTGTGTGTGTGTGTGTGTATACAGGTGCACACTCATGCATGGAACACTTATGGATGTCAAAGGACAACTTGCAATAATGGGTTTCCTTCCACCATGTGGATCCCAGGATGGTAAGCCCATTAACCCACTGACAGATTTCACCAGACCCTCTGCTATAACTTAGATGTACGTGGAAAATAGTGTCAAAGTAAAAGAAGCCAGTAAAAGTCATTTTGTTTATTTCAACTGTCCAGAATAAGCAAGTCTTTAAAAAGGCAAGAAATAAATTAATTAGATTGACTGTATATGACATCATCCATAAAGACATGTTCTATAGATTGACTACATGTGACATAGTTCATAAAAATAGGTTCTATAGACTGACTGAGAAAAACAAGCTCTTGATAAGGATCTGGGGGAGATAATGAAAAGTTCATCAGGCTATTAACCACCTCTGCTCCCAGCCTCTGAGCAGAAAACCGGTTATACATCTCTCCCTTTGAAGATACAACCCCTCTTGCTTAACATTGCTGGTTTCTCTAGAGCTCATCTGTGGGCACAAGGACCTCCGTGCCTCCTAAGGTTGACTTTCTCACCTTCTCTGCCCAAAAGGGGGCTTGGCTTCCTCTATTCCCGCTGGGCATCCTCCCAAAGTGTCAGCTCTCACCTGGCTTTAGTAACCATTCGCTCTCCCTGGTGCTTTCAAGACTATAGGTAGCAGAAACTGCCGCTGTTGCCACTTATGATCTACTGAATGCTATACGCAGATGGAAAACCTTGTGTGCATCTAAATATATTTCCTCATTCAGCCCTCGAAGCACGATAATCAGATGACATTAGTTCTACTGCAGATGGAAGTGACAAAATGAGAGGGTGCGGGTAACCAGGTGGGAAAAAGACATGGCTTGTCTGCGAGCGTAAAAACTATCTGTGGCTCAGCTCCCTTCAAAAGCTTTTACTCTTGGTAACACGCAGGCTCCCACCAACAGGAATAAAGATATTGTTGCAATTTTCCCATCCGGCTATTGAACAAATGTTTGAAATGAAGACTGTACAAGCCAGAAAGAATACCGAGAACTGAAGCTAAGAGCATCCACACAAGTCTGGGAGTTCTGTGCCTGGGAAGAGGCTAGATGCCTTCTCTACCGTGTGGTGCCAGCCAAGGTCAAGGTAGGGAGCTCTTCCTAAAGAAAACAGCGTGAAGTACACGCTATTTTTCCAAACCGCTGGGTAGCTAATGGGTCCTTGGGTGTTTCTTCAGAAGTTGGGGAGCCTTACTCCAGACAGACATTGCTGGTAGGAGTACGTAATCTGGAAAGGGCATAAGGTAACATAGAAATTCTTTGTTTTTGTTTCCTGTTTACCTTTCAGCTATTTGATGGTGGCATTTTTACAGGCTCGGGATTCCGGGGACTTGAAATGACATTTCCATGCTGCTTCTTCTGCCTTTCCTCAAAAAATCATCCGCTAGATTACATCCTGCAGGTTTCAATTTGCGGCTCTGACCCGCCCCACTCACCTCCCTGCTCCTGACGCCTGCACCGGAAGGACACCCCAGGACGCTAGAACAGGAGCCCTTGAAAGATCCAAAGGCCATGCTGATTGGCTGAAGCTCGTCCAATCCCTAGGCTCCGCCAAGCAAAGCACAGTCCTACGCTGATCCATCTGGAGCTCTGGCTAGAGGCCTCTGCGGTGGTCACCGTCCCAGCACTGTGTCGCGTGAGTGCATTCAACCTCAGGGAGGGAGGGAGGGTCGGCTTGGCTACACATCCCCGCCTAGCAGCAGCTCCAGCTGGGCAGGGAAGGCCTGGGCTCTGGGTTCTGCTAATGCCCCCGAGGCTGGCAGGTATCGCCAACCCGGTTTTGTGATCTCTCAGTAGTATTGTCACCAAGTTGGGAAAAGTCTGCAGAGTGCAGTGGAGAGGGAAACGGGATAACTCTAGGGGGAAATACCTACATGACAGTAAACTGCCCCCACAGAGTCAAAGTGGAAACAATGACAGAAAACACCCCCAGAGGCTATGTGCTTCTGCTTAAGTTTAATAGGAAATATAATTTGGAAGACTGATTGAGAATGACTGCGGTGATGTGACCAGCCACAAATTCAGTTAATAAAGCAGGACAGAGATCTGGATAACAGAAGTCACAAATTCTTTCTTTTTCCAAATCAAATCTTGGCTCCCAGGGCAAGCAGAGAAAGTCTGAGATTTGTACCATCACTATTCCCCCAGAAACACACCTTTCCACAGTAATTAAAATCATGGCTGTGCAGAACTGGAGCATCAACCCCCCCAAAAAAAACACCCCCAAGCAAGCAAGCAAAAATCAGGAGCAACCTGGACCCACATCAATATTTTCTGTCCTCCACAACATTCTTGTTTCCTGTGTTACCCATAAGAAAGTCAATTCAAGGCTCCTCTTATTTAGCTGTTGCTAATGTTTTGTCTCTGGGAGAGAGAAAATTGAGGGTATTTGGAATACCCTAAGAAAAGGCTGTTACTGGCTTTCTTAGGTATAGGAGAATAGAAGTTGAAAACACTGTTCAAGGGTGAAGTTACAAGGTATGGCATACTCATTTGCAGGTGCGGTCTCTTAGAGGGACATTGTTCCTGGTTTCCCTCTGGCTTTAACTCATCTACCTGAGAATTACTCCTGACATATCCAAAGTCCAAGTCCAAGAGTTCAAGACCCAGAAAGAGGTAAGCCTGACCCTAGCTTTTGGGAGTGTTTCTCTTCTCTAGATGATTGACATGAGGATTGTCCCACCCATACAAGGGAGAGCCCACCCCCCATAGGAGTGTGCCAAGGGACTTGGATCTGTGTGTGTGTGTGTGTGTGTGCGCGCGTGCACTAGAGAACAATCAATTTCTTTGAAAATGTTTGCAGCAGATATAAAAATTCAGCCTTCCATTCCTACATGCAGAAGACAAATAAGGGATGGTGAGTAGCCTGAGCCAAAGTTTTCCTTGAGTGGAATCATTCTATTTTGTGCAAGTAGAAGCCACAGAGACTAGCAAGAGGGATGGCAGTGTTTCTCCTGCAAGCTCAGTTGGAAATGACTCATCTGGGCTGTTGATACTTAGATAACAGGGTAAGCTGATAGGTCCCCTCCCCCATGAGTGTCCTTTGTCCCTGCTCATAGGGTGCTGAGTGGGACAATGACAGACAGAAAGGAACTGTCATAAGGAATCCTTAGGGATCTGCTCTTTCTTCTTGGTAAGTACTTCAGCCTCTGCCGGGCTCTGCAGCTGATTGGTTCAAGTGCCATGTAATTCCAGGGTGTGTTCTTTGTTGGAATACACAGAAGTCACTGAAGCCTGGCTCTCAGCTCCCACTCTACTCTTGGGAAACATCCTTGGTCCCGCTCACCCTACTAACAGGGTAACCACTCCAACTGTATTCCCACTCTTCCCCTGCTCATTTCCCGAATTACTCTAAATCCAGGAAAGATGTGGAGATAGCTGTTGTCTGGGATCCGAATAAATATAAATCCTGTGTGTAAAGCATCAAGATTGGCTGCTGTGATGTGAAGGTATTAAACAGCCTACTAAAATGACATTGAAGAAAGTAGGGAAGTTGTGACACATAGTCTTCTGAGGGAAACGTCAATGACTAAAATGTTTTCTGTACATACTCACTTGGATTTAGAACGAAACTGGGAGTTCTGACCCACCTGCAGTTTACAGCCCTCTTAGGCAGCTGTTAGGCAAGATAAGGTCATAAGATGAAAACTGAAGCGGTGTCTGATGTGGGTGTGCCTGTGTGACTTGAGTCACAGTTGCAACATGCATTCATAAGAAAACAAACATCAAATTTTAATCATTTTCAGGTTAGTAAACGAGAACAGCCATTCTGTTTTTAGCTTTGCTGTACTACTTAATAAGTTATATCAAGCACTTTATTATACAAAGAGGCCTGTAGTATGTAAGTGTTCTAAGTACATTTAAGATAGGCTAAGGTAAACCATGATGTTCAGTATATTAGGTGTGGTAAATGAATTTTTCTCAATGATATTTACAACTTACAATGAGTTTATTGGGCTATAACTTTCACTGGAAGGAGAGGAGAAACTCTACAATGTAGTCCTTTTAAAAAATGCATTTCTGGCCAGAGGAGATGGCTTAATGCATAAAGTGCTTGCCATAAATCATGAAGACCAGTGTTGGATGCCCCCAAACCAATGAAAATTTGGGCATGGTAGCACACATCTGCAATCCCAGTGGTGAGACAGGAATCCCTCGGTGGCTCTCGGCCAGCTAGTCTGATGTACATAGCTGAGAGCAACAAGTGGGATAGACTGTCACAAAAAAAGACCAATACCTGGGCTGTCCTCCGACCTGCACTCATGTGCCGTGACGCACCAACCTGCACTCACACACATGAATGGACATATACACTCACACACGGAGTTTTTTTTCACAGTGCGTTAGCAAGGGCAGGTAAGCATCCTTATCCTTCCCTCCCCTGAGGACCTCGGTAACTTGGAGAGAATGAAGGTGAGGCTGGAGGATAGGTAGGGGGTATCAGCTGCAAGAAGGTAGAGATGAGATGTGTGTCAAAGAGGGATGGGAGCATGTGACTTCAGGAAGAACACGGATACACTGACCAGGAGACACCTGATTCTTAAAACACAGGCTCAAGAAGGACAGACAAAAGTTCTTCTGAGCACACACCCTCAGAGCAAGGTCTTACTGTCTACTGAACAGACAGTAAGAAGATGGATAGCCTTAGATTTAGAGCTGGGAAGAGCATGAGGGAACATGGCACTATGTGTTTACAGAGTAGGAAGAGAAGGGAAATCATTTCAATCTGTGGGTCTTGGCTAAGTAAATGACGCCAGGCTGGGTAAGTATGCCTGAGGTTAAACAGCTAGTTAGCATTTACACTACTCCCTAGGTAGGTTTCTCTCTTTTTACATTGTTGATAGTTCAGAGCATGTATAAGGATATACAGAGACTGTAATTTAAAGTTGCCTTGCATTTTTATGCTTTAGGTCAAGATGGGGTTCATATTCTCAAAATCTATGAATGAAAACATGAAAAACCAACAGGAGTTTATGGCTATGCATGCCCGACTTCAGGTACATGTTACTTAAGATGTTATTTTCCTAATCACATAAAATTTCTACTCTGGTTCTCTAGAGGTGTGTTCTCTTTGACTCTCCTTGACCCCTAATTAAAATGCTCTTGGGCACCACCCTCAAGAGATGAAGTGGATGACTCGCTCGTTGGCGAATGGCCCTTGCCTCCAATTCAGATACTTGTTTCAAAAATTTCACACTACACGTAATTGCTTAGAGTATATTATGAACGGAATATCCCCTTGCCTCAAGGTATCCCAGATTCCTAGAACCTGTGCATGTATTAGGAATATGATACCTTCCATGGAAAGTGGCTTTACTGCATGTATCCTATAAAGAGGTGTTAGCCTGGATTATTCATTGGGTTCATTATAATTCCCAGGTCCCTTATAAGGAGACTCTGTGTGTGTGTGTGTGTGTGTGTGAGAGAGAGAGAGAGAGAGAGAGAGAGAGAGAGAGAGAGAGAGAGAGAGAGAGAGAGAGAGAGAAGAGAGGAGAGGCAGACACAGAGACAGAAACAGAGAGAGAAAGAATTCAAAGATGTCATACTGCTGCCACACATAGACAGCTTACACAAACCCAAGCTGAAAGACACTCTACAGGCTTTTGAAGATGGAGTGAGTCAGGGCCATGGCCAAAAAAGGCAGGCAGTCTCACTAAGTTAGAAAAGCCAAAGAAGCAGATTTTCCCCTGCCACCTTCAGAGAGGCAGAGCCACACTTTTGCCCTTTAACCTCTGATAATAATTTGATAATGTGGCATTAGAAAACTGCTATAGACTGTACACTTGACCTTGGATTATACAGTAGATGTTTAGAAAAAAAATCAAAGACATTGCTGAATTGCCCATTATGAGTTGTCAAAGTATTTTTAAATGTTATAAATCACATCTGAAAGTAAAAAAGTTCGGCCCAAATTGTTTTGCTGAGATTTTAAACAAAGATCATGGTGCCCCGGTGGTCTGTTATGTCTCTAAGGGTAGAAAGCACTACTCTTGGGAAGTATAAGTGAAAGGTGAACCAGCCTGCCTGTATGAATCCTGATTAACCTGATGGCATGCCCAATCTGTCCTTGGTCTTCTGGTCTGTACCATAGAGCCAATATGCCCTTCAGAGTTACTCCAAGAGGGAAACAGTATACTCATTATGTATGATATATATAGAATGTGTATTATATAATGCCTGTTGCTTGTATTAGGAGTTACTGTTATTGCAATTAAAATCTTTTTTTTAAAGTTAGGGTTTCATGTAGCCCAGGCTAGCTTCAAACTGGTTGTGTAGTCTAAGATAGTCTTGAATTTTGGTCCTCCTACTTCCGTCTCCTCAGTGCTAGGGTTATGGGTATGTGCCACTATACCCAGCTGCTATTAAAGATTTATCCAGGTTCCTGGGCAGTATAATGGTTTCTTTGGTGAAAATACAGAAATAGAAAAAATGGGCAAGTTTTGTTTTGTTTTTCTGTAACTGGCAGTGACCAGGGGTGACTAAAGTACAGGAATCAGCCTAGTATCTCAGAAACTTGGAGCCACCTGTGCATGGAAACTACAGAAGTTTCCTTCTTAATAAGACCCCATGACCTCAGGATCTGTGAAGATTTGGGGGTTTATTCCTCTTGGAAGTTACAGGAAACCAGAGAGTCCTGAGTTAGAGGAATCATCACTGCACGGAAACAGCATGGTGTCACTTCCTCATGCTACTCCCCAGAGGTGACGAGGCTGGGCCTGGGTGTAAGTGAATGCTCTGCTCTCTGTGAATTTAGGTCATGTATGGGGAACACTGAGTGTAAGGTAATCTACTGCTTTTATAATGAACCATGAGCAAGAGGAACATTCCTTAGAGTTGTTCACTGGCACACAAGCTAGGGCCTGGCTTTTTTGATCCATCCATCAAGTATGTGCAGGAATGTTCATGGTTCCTGGTAGTCACTTTACTGACCAGAGGCAAGAGAACAACCTCAAGTCCTCGCCAGTCAATCCCAATGAGTAGGTTTTCCAGGTGTGGCATTGAGGTCATCAATTTTCAGCTTATCTAACCCAAAGGTGAACCCAACCCAGGAACACAGCCCCTCGTGAGCCAGCAGCCTTCTCTCATCTGGAAGAAGACAGGGTAAAATTTTCCCTAGAGCAATGGCTACTTCACCTGCATGGAACCGAGAAAAGGCTAGGTAGGGCCTGATGCACTGTACCCTCAAACACGCCATGTTCATTTGAGGAGCTGACAGACCCCTTCCTTGTGCTTGTCTTGCTTTGGATTCCCCACCCCACAATGGAGATGTCATACCTGAGCATCACACGGCTTCAATAGAGCAAAATTTATCTTAAACAAATGCTCAACAACAAAGCAATGATTCTCTAGCCTCTCTGATCCTTCAATTACTAACCAAATTGAGTCCCCTCAAAATTTTGGAATCCTAACCCCAATATGACTTCATTGGAGATAGAGTCTTCATAGAGGTAATCAAGTTAAAATAAATCCTTAGGGTGGGTCTTAATCTGATCTGTCAGTGACGTTTAAGAGGACATTTGGTCCTGTACCCCAAATATGGACATAGTCATTTACAAGCTAGAGACAGAGGTCTCCTATAGCTTGTCAAGGAATTGGATACATTGATTTGGGATTTCTAGATTCCGGAACTGAGACAACATTTTTTTTTCTATTGCATAAGCTAGCCATATTGCAGCCCTCTTGGGTAGGGTCAGCTTTAGCAATCTGAAGCAGGGAGTATTTGGAAGTTGTGTTCAGAAGTAGGTGCTGGTATATTGGGCTCAAGTGCACCTTTCTACCTTTCTCCCCAACTGCGTATTTCTATAAGCCTTCCAGGGAGGAGAATCAGAGCCCACGGATGGGGGAGATTTGGTCACCATGAGTTTTTCATACAAGCAAGACTCATCAGATTCACTATACACTTGTATGTGTGCATGTACACATTCAACAGTATCTTGAATTGAGTCAACCTCTATTCCTTAATGCAAACCTTGTTCATACTACATCAGCTGAATTCAGTCCATCTTCCACTCAAAGAATGTAACATAAGCATTGCATAGTTTCAGGAGACTATGCAGTTGTACAGATGGTTGGTGACTGATATGAAGACTTTCTTTTCTTTTTTAAAAAAATTAGTCTTTGAGAATTTCATACAATGTATTAGGACTAGGAGCTATGTGGCTAAGTGGTAGAGTGTTTGCCTAGCATTCATGAGGTCCTAGGTTCAGTACATAGTACAGCAACCAAAAAGAGATGGGGAGGGGGGAGGGGAGAAAGGGGAGAGAGAGGAAAGAGGAAAGAGAGGTTAGTTTGGGGGGATAGGGAGAGAAACTGCCTCTTCCAACCTCTTACTGAAGATGAGCTTTACAATTAAAAATGAACATTTTCCACAGAGCCACTAGAGGGCACACCTAAACAACTTTAGAGTGCCCAAATGTCTGGAAAGTTTGATGTTACTGAGATAGAATGGAAACCAGAAAAGGTAACACACAGAGAGAAATACAGATGCTGCCAGCCCATGCTATGCAGTGCGGCTGTCGGCAAAGCAGCATGGCCATCCATGCACAGATCAGGGGGCAGTAAATGTTAATTTGTTGTTTGCTGTGTTCAGGCAACAACATGAGAGAAAACAAAAGCCAACCAAACATGATAGCCAGCCCTTGACCTGTTTTTGTGCTGGAAACTTAAGGTAGTATAGATTCTCCTAGTTTTTAATGAAATTAGATCTTGCAGATGGAAGATGTAGTGTTTCTACCCTGGTTAATTTTTTATTGTCAGCTTGAAACAGCCTGGAGTCATCTGAGAAGAGAGACTCTTAGTTGAAGGGCTGTTTTAATTAGACTGGCCTGTATGTCCCTAAGAGATTGTCTTGACTGATGACCAGTGTGGGAGAGCCCAGTCCACTGTGGGCGGTATCAGTCCTAGGCAGGTATGTCTGGGCTGTATAAGAGAGCTGGCTGAACAGGAGACCCCGGCTAGAAAAATGTTCCCTCATGGTTCCCACCCCTAGGTTCCTGACTTGAGTTCTGGACCTGCTTCTCTCAGTGATGGATTGGGACCTGGAAAGTGAAATACACCCTGCCTTTTGCTTTTGGTCATGCTTCTAGCACGGTCATGTAATCAGAAAGAATAGATCCAAATGTGGTAATAAAAAGAAACACTTCCAGGCACACTGATGGATTTTTCTTACATTACCACAGTCAGACATTTACATAAACTGTGAATTGCCTATCAAGTGCCACATGAATTAGGAGCTAAAATACTGCGGTAAACTGTGTGATTTCTTCTCTCATGGGATCATACATTCTTGAACAGGGTAGAGATGGCAGCCAATGAGTTCAACATTGTGTTAAGAGCTAAGAATGCTATATATTAACGTGTCTGTTAAAGACAGAATGGTAGAGGCTTTTCCAAAGGTCACATATTTAGTCAGTGCTTGCTTAGTCGTGGCAGTGTGCAGACCCTGGCTAGTTAGTGGTGGTATCTCTCTGTCCTGACATGTTTCAAATATTTTATGTAGGACTTTTCTTAGAGGAAAAAAATGTTTGGATCATGTTTCCTAATAGATTCAAAGCACACTATTAGGAAAATTGATGTTAGTTTTAGGTTCATTGTTAGGTTTCGATATAGACTACTGAATCTAACTATTGGGTTAGGGGGTTATCTATTATGACAGTTATGCTGTTGGACACCCAGATTTATTAAATATGGGTGCAGTTTAATTTTTTCAATTATTACACATTGTTTAGATGCCAAATACTATTAAGGCATAATTATTTTTAGTTTTATTTCCCCAAAGGAAAACATTAACTATAAGTTTTATTTGTTTTAAAATTTTTGAACAAGACCTCAAAGCCACAAGGTTTATTTTCTCTGTGGCTTTGGAGGCTGCCCTGGAACTAGCTCTTATAGACCAGGCTGGTCTTGAACTCATAGAGATCCATCTGCCTCTGCCTCTTTAGTGCTGGGATTAAAGGCATGTGCCACCAACACTGGTCTTAAGAACTCAGAGTTTTTAGAACAATAATGGACTCTCCCTCCCTCCCTCCCTCCCTTCCTCCCTCCCTCCCTCCTTCCCTCCCTCCCTGTTTCCCTTCCATCTGATCCATGATGAGTTCTCTCTGATGACCCCTTACTAAGACACCACTGCAATGTCTCCTTTGTTGCAACCAGTCGCTTAGCCACAACAGATTTTCAATTATAGGTGTATCCTAGGTGTCTTTAGCTGGAGAGCTTTGACAATACTATGTTACCACATAAATACACAATGTGTCACTTAGAGTGTGCCAGACACTGCTGTAAATTAACGTGTGTGAGTATGTGTGTGTGTGTGTGTGTGTGTGTGTGTGTGTGTGTATGTGTGTGGTGGTGGTGGTGGTGGTGGTGGTGTCCTTTGAGACAGGGTGGCAGGAGCCCGAGTTGGTCTCACGATTCTATGTTCCCTCTCACGTTCTGGGATTACAGACATGCACTACCAAGCCTGACGTAGAACTGTTAACCTGTAATCTTTGAGAGAGAGCTTTACAACTGGAGTCCAGTGTTGAGAACAGTCCTTTTGATCTTTGACAGTGCCATTTCTGCCTAGTTAGATAGTTCCCCTCCCCTTCCTTACATCGTGTGTTTGTCCTGTAGTCACAAGATCTCGTCATAGCCTCATCCCAGGTTGGGCATCCTCTAAGTTGCTGGCTGATTTACAAAATTTTGATACATTGGGTTCACTCTTTACCATAAAGTTTATGCATATGACAAGGACAGGGTGTTTTGCACTCTCCACTACATCATACTGTTTAGTCCCATGATCCTTACAAAAATCTCTGCTTACTCCCTTTGACAGTTTCCAGTCATCAATTTCAGACTGATATCCACTTGATGTTTACTGGGGGTTAAAAAATCTATCCTGCGATAGTTCTCTTTAGGCAGTAGTTTTCAATCCCAGCTGCATACCAGAGCTACCTAAACCACCTGCAAAATGAAATAAACTGAATTAAACTTACGCTGACTTACCTACAGTTAACATATGGATAACAGCTGTGGGCTATTGGGATGGATACTGGGACATTGACAAACTCCATAGATATTTACATTGAAGAACTCCACAGATGTTTACACTGAAGAACTCCACAGATGTTTACACTGAAGAACTCCACAGATGTTTACACTGAAGAACTCCACAGATGTTTATGGCTGAAGATACTGATGTTGGATTTTTCTGTGTCTTTTTTTTCCTAGATGCCTTTTTATATGAACACAAGTTACTAATTGCTGCATTTATATTACTTTGAGAGATATGCATTATTATACAAGTTTGGGAACTAAGTGATTTGCAAGGATGGGTTTTATACATTCAATATTCATGCATATAAGGGCATATTATTTATCTTTAATGGAACTCAAAATGAACCTCAACATCTACTGACAAAGGCAAATTTTGGTAAGGCCCAGTGGCTTAATTGCCTTTTGCTCCTTCTTCTCGGTTCACTTTTCCTTGGAACAATCTTGGTTTGGCCTAGGAGACTTCAGGTGGCACAGGCATTAGAGGAAGCATCTCTGGTTGAGGGAAATGTCTCTGCTGTTGTTTACAACCACCTGGGAAATATGAGGTGATTTGTTCTGACAGCATTGACCATGCTCCAGGTGAATCTGGCCATGACCTACACTTTTCCATGCTATGGATCCTTGAGATCCAACTGCCTTCTCCAACTATCTATGACTTATTTTCTGCCCAAGTGTCTGCTATGAGTTCTCCAGGCCCTGTGGTTTAGTGACAGTCTGGTATGTCACCTGCTTCTGATTTTTAGCTCCCCCCTGGGAACATTTCCTGACATGAGAACCACACAGATACCTGGGGAGCTGAGAATTACCCAACTCTCTCCCAGACCTGCTCTGAACCCAGGTCTGCCTTGCGACCATTGTCACTCTACCTTGGTTCCCCCTCCCAGAATCCTCTTTGTTTACAGGATGCCTGGGCACACCTGGAGTTTGCTTGACATTCTCCTGTCGTGTGGCCAAGCCTTATCCTTTTACCAATCTCCTCTCAGTTCCTGCCATGCAGACATGACCGGAAACCGAGTCACATTATTTTTCTTTCATCATGAACTCTAACTTTCTGTTTCTGAGCTTTGATGGTGATATATATGTACTGTCAAGGTTTTAGAATTAAGAAGCCAAGAAACAAGTTTCTCTCAAAAAAGCAGACACTTCAAATCATGGGCTTGGGTTTTCATTTTGCCACTACTGCTGCTTCTATGTATTTTTTTTAAATCCAATCAGGTGTTGTGTCCTGTGTTTTGTGCTGTTCAAAGCCAAGAAAGGCACCTACTAAAATGGCACAAGACACAGAAGGTGACAAGCAAAACCCTCTATTGACACCTCAAAGAAACACCCCTTCATCACTGTCTGATGAGGGCCTGGCATTTCAATTTGTAGTTGGGTATATTTGGAAGGCAACATGGATGGAAGGCAAAACTGATTTCCAAGTACGAACTAACAACAAAGGCAGGCAAGGTGGATATGTCTAGTGACCCCACAGATCTTTCCTCATAGGAAACAGAGGGCTGGGTCCACAAAAATGAAGGCAAGACCTCTTTGAGCAGAAACAATGTCTGTTTTGTATACAGTTTAAGAGATTGTCACTGCCAAAGTGATAGTTACGCAGAGCTGTTCAGAGCAATTTAGTCAAAGCCTGTTGTGATTTAAACAAGGTAAAAATACATCAGAACAAACGAAGAAGGAAAAGCAGATTGTAACACTGTTCCAAGACGAAAGGTGAGTGACCATGCGAAAAAGCAGATTGCAACACTGTTGCAAGATGAGAGGCAGTGACCTTGCTTTGTCTTCTGTGCTTAGCTGGAAAGGCAGCTGACCATGCAGAATGAGATGAGGGAAAGGCAAATGGCTATGCAGATCGCCTGGTCTCGGGAATTCCTCAAATATTTTGGCACATTTTTTGGCATTGCCACCATCTCTTTAGCAGCTGGGTATGTTTACAATTTATTCTAAGATTTTTCTGAAATAATGCAGTCTTTGCCATGATCATAGCACTGTTAAGTTGACCGAGGTAGGACTTTGAACCCAAGAGTATTCATGTAAACAAAGAAACCTCCCCTAGCTTAACTCCTCTGTAGAGCAAGGGTAGTAACAGTTCATTCTGCCTTTAGTTCCTTCGATTCCTTCTTTTTCTCTAGTCCACAAGTTAAAGAAGGCTCACTTGACAGCAAGATGGATGGCCTCTGTACTTATCCCCAGAGGTTCTGAATTTGTGTGCTTTAAATGGAGCAATCAAAGACTTGAAGTCTAAGAAAGATTAGCAAGTCATAGCTCCCCACCCCAACCAAAGAATCTGGGTGAGATATTCTGGGCGAGGAAATTCAATTTCTATAGAAGACTCAGATAAATTAAATATCCTATGAGATGGAAACATTCTTCCAGAATGCAAGTGCTTTTTCTTACAAGGACAAGAAGTGCATTTGCTAGTTATTGTTGACGTTCATCTTTCTATTTCTGAAACAGAGCAATAAAGCAAAAGAAGCCAGCCTTTCTCGTTCCTATAGTTCCACTCAGCTTTATTTTCACCTATCAGTATGACCTGGGCTACGGAACACTTCTACAAAGAATGAAAAGTAAGTCTCCCTCAACTTGTTTCCTAATTAATCTTCTGATCTCCAATCAGGCCTGGGAGATGGCTCTGTCAGTAAGGTACTTGCTTTGCAAGCGTGAGGGTTTACAGTACCCATGTAAAAGGCTTGTAATCTCAGTAGTACCAGGGAGGCAGAGACAGGCAGGTCTCTTCGGCTCCCTGGCTAACCAGCCTAGCCTACTTGGCACACTCCAGACCAGTCTGAGATACTGTCTCAAAACGAAAACAAAGAATAGATAATGTCTGAGGGCGGGCACTGGAAGTTAACCCCTAGCCTCTACATGTACATATATACACATGAACATACACATGCGCATATGCATCCCCTCCTTATAAATCTTTGACTTATTTGACTTATGTAGATTCTGGTGGGATCATTTTCCTAAGATTCCAATGACCAACATCTCTGCTCCCTTCAGCAGAGGAGGATAAGAACTGACTTGATAAATGTTTAGAAATTTTGCATGGTGGGTGTGAGGCACAGTTGTTTACTAAAATTAAATTAAATAGGAGCATACAGTCTTAGAATTAAATGATAATAAACACTAAATTTATTGTATTTAAATAAAAGGTATTTAAAATAAAGGCATTAAGCACTCAGAACTCATCTATTTCTAATTATTTTCTATTGTATATAACTATAGATTACTTGTATCAATGGTATCTGCATTTATGCAAATGCAGAAGCAGCATACAGATGCAACAAAATGCAGCCACAACTTTAGCCTCAGCAGCATCCCGTTGGTGGCTTGAGTTTGGTCATGATGGGAGCATTTACATTATGGGAACTGGCAAATACCAAATCAAGGCTTTACCTTATATCCTGTTGATCATCTAGACCATGGATTGGAAATGCTGAATTTTAAACCCTTGGGAAAGAATTCTAATAATTTCTATAAGTATTCTTTATTTTTTGCAGACAGCTTACTTATTTTTAGTGTAAATTTGCAATTGTTTGTATGTGTGTGTTGTATATTGGTCAAATCCAGGTAGTTATAACTAGCTCCTCCATGCATTTATCATTTTTTGGTTCGGTTTCTGAGACATAGTCTCCCTGTAGGGCTCTGTCCTTCCGCCAGAGTGCTAAATTATAGGCATGTACCACCACACCCAGCTGCAGCTGGGTTTCCAGAATGCTTAGCTCTGAGATGTAAGGCCACAGATACAGAGAGTGACACAGTGTCTCACCGGAACAGCAATCAAGCCCTCTCACAAAATGCTGATGGCCCCCTCACCCCCCCATTGCCTTACACACTTCTGCATTTTATTTAAGGTGAAGCCGAAGACATATTAGAAACAGAAAAGACTAAGTTGGAGCTGCCAAAAGGAATGATCACTTTTGAAAGCCTGGAAAAAGTCCGAAGGGAGCAGAATAAATTCTTCGCAGACAAATGAAGTCGTGTGTATGCTCAAAGCACATGGTTCAACTCAAAGCATGGAAAGGCTGGCTTGAATCACGGTGTTTACAGCTTTTTAAATGATCAAAATTTTGATACAATGCATTTTTTATTTTAGAATATTAAATTTCAAAATGAATTTGTTGAACTATTTTAGAATAAAATTTCTACCACTCAACCAAATCATGGCACCATTCTAAATAGCATTCAAATTTCTTGTGTGTGTATGTTTTACATTTATCAAAGTGCAAAATTAAATAAATTGTATTGTTCTGAATTTGACACCAATGTTCTGTTGCTTGAGGTTTTATCATTCAGACTTTCCACTCGCTGTCAACTCTCACAGGCATCTGCTAGCATGTCCTGTCCCACACAAAAGAACACGGGAGGCCAAGGGCGACCAATGCACAATGAATTACAACGTTCAGTGTTTGGAGGGGGAGGAGGAAGAGATGATGAAGTTTAGAGACATAAATGGGGCTCCATAAGGAGTGTGAGGAGGGAAATGGGTTGATATCATATTTCATTGTATCCATAGATGATGATTTCAAACAATAGGTTAGATAAATGAACAAATAAGCAAATGAATGCATAGAAAGAATTTATAGAAGAAAGAGATGGAGATTTTGTCTCATTTTATCTGATGGATCCATGCATGATGGAATACTGCCACAACATCAACTACTCTGGAGGCTGAGGCTAGAGGTTCTTTTGAGGCCAGACTGAGCAGCATAGCAAGACTCTGTCTCTGTCTCTTTGTCTCTCTGTTTCTCTGTCTCTGTCTCTGTCTCTCTTTGTCTCTCTGTCTCTGTCTCTCTGTCTCTGTCTCTGTCTCTGTCTCTCTCTCACCTGCATAATAGTGGTGTCCTATGGTACCCAAAATGGTTGGTCAAGAGTTTTAAATTTAGAATTATATTTGATATGCAAACTTTGCTGATGTGGCCAGATGTGGCTTAAGGCCCCTTCAAGGTGGTACTAAAGACATTACAGAGGGTTTAGCTGCTGGGCTATCTAGCCAGGCCCCTTGGTCCTCTGACTATGAGACCCTTCCTTTGAGCTCCTTTTCTTGATGTAGACGCTGAGTTCATTAATAACTCACATTCATACATCTACTTCTGCAATGGTCTTTCCCAAGTGCATCGAGAGACAAAACCCAAAGCCAATCTACTCAACAACCACCCTTAAGCACAACTGTATTAAAGCCTGTTTCAGTTGGCCTCAGAGCTGCTGATTATTCAAAATTTCTCCTTTTCCTATGACATCATCTTTTCACTGAATTGACAAACGCTTCATCGGTCACTCTTGTATTATCTTAGCCATATAGATTATTTAATTATAACTTTTATTAAGTTTCCAAGTACGGAAACAGCTGTGGTCTCTCCTCAGCTTATTACCAGAGACTTCTGGTGTGGCTTCAAGAAGAATGAGGAAAGAAAATATTTCAATGAAGGAAGAAACTGAAATCTCCTTAAGAAACTAAGATTTAGAGATTTATAATAACATGGTCAGAGATAAAGTTAATGGGAGAACTCTCTCCTCCTCCTCCTCTTTTTTTGTTGTTGTTGTTGTTTTGTTTTGTTTTTGAGACAGTGTTTCTCTGTGTAGCTCTGGCTGTCCTGGAACTCATTCTATAAACCAAGCTGGCCTTGAACTCACAGAGATCTACCTACCTCTGCCTTCCTGAATGCTGGGATTAAAAGTGTGCACCACCACTGCCCAATGGTGGAAGAATTCCTATCACTTGGCTTTTCCCTTCCCAAAGCAAAGTTACTTATGTGACAAGTCTCCTTCAGGGTTGGAGTGCATCAGTGAGCATCCAGTAGACTCCTGCTGCAAAGATTTTGAATCATTTTGTGATAATTAAACTTAGTTTGTGATATTTTAATACTGAAGCATTATTTTTAAAGATTTATTTATTTGTATTTTATGTGAATGGGTATTTTTGATTGCCCTTATAGCTGCATACTGCATGTGTGCAGTCCCTCAGAGGCCAGAAGAGGGCATGAGATCCCCGGGAACAGGAACTACAAAGGGTTGTCAGCACCCTGGTGGGGCCTGGGTGCTCTGAATCACTGAGCCTCCTCCTTAACCCCCTCAAGCATTTTGAATGGTTTTGACTCTCACTGCAGGAAGAGCACTGTGCTTTTCCACAACTTTCAGAAATTTCACGTATAAAAAGAGCAGTTTCTACTAAACACTGGTGTCCAGTATCCACAGCAGGATTCTTTTCAAAACGGCATATTGGCTGTTATCTGAATAGCAACCAAATCAAGTTATTTTTTATTAAAGATTTTTTAATTTACATTAGAAACAAGCTTGCTTCACATGTCAATCCCAGCTCCCTCTCCCTCCCTTTCACCACCCCCCCAGCTCTGCAGCCCCCGACTCAATCCCCACTCCGTTCCCCAGGGAGGGTGAGGCCCTCCTTGGGGGATCTCCAGAGTCTGTCATTTCATTCAGGGCAGGGCCTAGGTCATGCCCCATGTGTCCAGGCTGAGTGAGCATCCCTCGTTGTGGGATGGGCACCCAAAGTCCATTTGTATGCCAGGATAAATATCGATTTACTACCCAAAGCCCCATAGATTGCCGAGGCCTCCTCACTGACACCCACATTCAGGGGGTCTGGATCAATCCCATGCTGGCCTCCCAGCCATCAGTCTGGGGTTCAAGAGCTCCCCCTTGTTCAGGTCAGCTGTTTCTGTGGGCTAAACCAGCCCAGTCTTGACCCCTTTGCCCATCACTCCTCCCTTTCTGTCACTGGGTTCCAGGAGTTCAATTCAGTGTTTAGCTGTGGGTTGAGAGATGCCTCAGAGGTGAAGAGCACTGACTACTTTTCCAGAGGACCTGAGTTCAATTCCCAGCAACCACATGGTGGCTCACAACCATCTGTAATGAGATCTGGCACCCTCTTCTGGCATGCAGATATGAATGCAGGCAGAATACTGTATAAATAAATAAATCTTTAAAAAATCCATATATGAGTGAGTACATACCACGTATGTCTTTTTTGTGACTGGTTAACCTCACTCAGGATGGTTTCTTCTAGAGCCATCCATTTGCCTGCAAATTTCAAGATTCCATTTTTTCCCCCACTAAATAGTACTCCATTGTGTAAATGTACCACATTTTCTCTATCCACTCTTCAGTTAATGGGCATCTAGGTTGCTTCCAGGTCTGGCTATTACAAATAATGCTGCTATGAACATAGTGGAGCAGATGCCCTTGTTGTATGAATGTGCATCTTTTGGATAAATGCCTAAGAGTGGAGTTGCTGGGTCTTGTGTTAGACTGGTACCCATTTTCCTGAGGAATCTCCATACTGATTTCCAAAGTGGCTGTACGAGTTGGCATTCCCAACAGCAATGAAGGAGTGTATACCCCTTTCTCCACATCCTCTCCAGCATAAACTGTCATTGGTGTTTTCTATTTTAGCCATTCTGACAGGAGTGAGATGGTATCTCAGAGTTGTTTTGATTTGCATTTCCCTGATTGCTAGGGATGTTGAGCATTTTCTTAAGTGTCTCTCAGCCATTTTAGACTCCTCTATTGAGAATTATCTATTTAGTTCTGTACCCCACTTTTTGATTGGATCCTTTGGTGTTTTGGAGACTTGCTTCTTGAGTTCTTTGTAAATTTTGGAGATCAGCCCTCTGTTAGATATGGGGTTAGTGAATATTTTTTCCCATTCTGTGGGCTGCCTTTTTGTCTTGCTGACTGTGTCCTTTGCCTTACAGAAGCTTCTTAGTTTCAGGAGGTCCCATTATTAATTGTCGATCCCAGTGTCTGTACTACTGATGTTATGTTCAGGAAATGGTCTCCTGTACCAATTCATTCAAAGGTACCACCCACTTTCTCTTCTAACAGGTTCAGTGTGGCTGGATTTATGTTGAGATCTTTGATCCATTTGGACTTAAGTTTTGTGCATGGCGATACACATGGATCTATCTGCAGTCTTCTACATGCCAGCATTGTTATGCCGGCACCATTTGTTGAAGATGCTTTCTTTTTTCAATTTAAGGATTTTAGCTTTTTTGTCAAAGAAAAGGTATTTATATGTGTATGGGTTAATATTTGGATATTCAATTCAATTCCATTGGTCTACCTGTCTATTTTTGTGCCAATATCAAGCTGTTTTCAGGACTATAGCTCTATAATAGAGCTTGAAGTCAGGGATGGCTATGCCTCCAGACATTGCTTTGTTGAACAGGGTTGTTTTAGCTATCCTGGATCTTTTGTTTTTCCATGTAAAGTTGAGAATTGTTCTTTCAAGGTCAGTAAAGAATTGTACTGGGATTTTAATGGTAATTGTATTGAATCTGTAGATGGCTTTTTGGCAAGATTGCCCCCTTTACTATGTTGATCCTACCTATCCAAGAGCATAGGAGACCTTTCCATTTTCTGGTGTCTTCTTTAATTTCTTTCTTTAAAGACTCAAAATTCTTGCTATACGGGTTTTTTTATTTGTTTGGTTAGCATTACCCCAAGGTATTTTATGTTGTGTGTGGCAATTGTAAAGTGTGATGTTTCTCTGATTTCTTTCTCAGCCCTTTTATTGTCTGTATATAGTAGGGCTAATGATTTTCTTGAGTTGATCTTGTATCCTGCCGCTTTGCTGAAGGTATTTATCAGCTGTAGAAGTTCCTTGGTAGAATTTTTTTGGTCACTTATGTAAACTATCATATCATCTGAAAATAGTGAAAGAAGATCAGGACGCTGGGGTGCCTTGGTTCCTGCCAGGGTGGGAGACTCAGTGGCAGTCCCTAGGCACTGGAATGCAGCCCAGAAACAGGCCCCGGATTGCCTGGACCTGTGGGAGGATAAGGAGACCAGGATGCTAGCGTGCATTGGCTCCTGCCAGGAGTGGGGTCTCAATAGTAGTCCCCAGGCACTGGCCCAAATCAAGTTTTAAAACCAGTGACTGACTGGGAATGTAGCTCACTGATAGAGTCCCTACCTAATGTGAATGAGCCCCGAGCTCTATCTGTAAAACCACAGAAGAAACTCCCAAAGTCAGAAATAATATGGTTTTTAAAAAAGTCACCGTGGCCATGTCTTATAATCATAAAAATTGTATGCAAATGGGTCAAAAGTGCATGGGTTAGCATCACCCAGAGCTGCGTGCTTAGTTCAAGAGTAGACCGGGCTATAAGAGACCCTATCTCAGAGAACAGCAAAAGGTATATGGATTAGAAGAGAATGGGGAATGGACAGATTCAGATTGTGAAAATTGGGTGGGGCATGAAATTCAGCGGTAGAGTGCTTGGCTAGCATGTATGAAGTTC